TGGCTGCCATAAGCTGACTCCTTCACCTAAACGCTGCTAACAGTTTAATAGAGCACAGACGAGACGGGCTTGAAAGAGCGACTATTGTCATGATAAGAGGCCAAGTCAATCTATTTGCATTCAGGGGTGAAACGACAGATCTATTTTTGTGCCTTCTTACATGAATAGAAAGAGGAGAGTGGAGGGTACAGATGGCTGCGGCAACATGGAAGCCTTGATCTATGCATGTCGTACTTCATCACTTACTATGTATAAAGATATCAGTACCTACAAGCAAATGACAGGCTTCATTCGTTCAACACAAGCACCTTTTTTGAATACCCAGCGCTGAATATTGCAAGGTCTGAAGCTTCAGCAGAGCCATGAGGCAATAATTCAAATAGCAGATTCTTTCTTGATGCCGTTACAAATCCTGGCTGTGGAGAGACATGGTTCTCATACCTTTTAAATTGTTCTTTCCAAGTAAATTCAATAGGGGATGACCCCACATTTCTCCTCTGTAAACCTGCTCTGCACACGTTGAATTTGCAGAAGATACATTAAGAAGAGTATTCAGGAGGTGGAGATTTCCTGACTTTGAAATAGAACGCACAGTGTTTCTTTTAGATCTTCTCATATAAATGGTAGGAACCTGTTACGAAAAGGACAGTACATCCAAAGGCTGGAGAGCTCAAACTGGTTTTATCATGCTCAAAGGACACCAGAGTTGTGGGGTTACACGCAGATAGCTATTGGAGCACTTCTTTTTATTATTTATGTATAAAAGCATTTGAAAATATGTTTAAATTAAGTGTTTTTATGTGTCAAGTTCCAAAAACACATCTCCAGTTTGTAACACCGGTTTTATCTATAACAATTTATCTCCAATACAGAGATACTCGAGTGACTTCAGTAATGTTTTCCCTTAGAGAGCCACAGAGGACATTGTATGCAATTTGTACAGGATGGTCAGTGCTCCTCGTGACTATTAAACCGGCATAATGTGTAAAATCGGTGGAGATTCCCTTTAATGTATCTCTAATGGGTGTACGAATAATGCAGAGCCCTTTCATTTAAATCTGTTTCAATAACTTATTTGAATGATCCTTTGAAATTCATTCAGGAGTTTAAAAGGTTCAACGCTTTGAAACGGAACATAAAAGAGGAAAAATCTGTATTTGTGAGGACAAATGATGACATGAGTCTGAACTAGAAATAAGCAGAGCAGCATGTTGTGAGACACTGATGGATCAGCCTGCTGACTGTAACCCTGGAAGGCCCATTAACACCTCCAGAGGGTACAGCCCAGCCCCCTCCATAAACAGCCCAGCCGGAGGTCCTTCCTAATGGGCTAAGCTCATTCCCAGCCTGGCCTGCTCCAGGTGTGGAAGCAGAGCCCTGTAATTGATAATTAGGGGGCAATAACCCAGCGTTCAATACAGGCCTCACGACAGGAGAGTGGCCAGGCTCCACACTGTCAGTCAGAGGCAGGAGAAGCAAGAGAATTGAGGGGGAGGGCTGTAATTCATCAAGGGGGGCTATTAGAGGGTGGTAGGGTGTCGTTTCTTGAATAACACATGTAGAAAAGGCAGGCTTTCGTGTGTGATGCACTGATACAGAATATTTTCTCCAACACAAAAAGAGCCTACAGAGAGAGTGCTTTGCGTAGGTGACTGATGGTGTCTGTGGTGCTCATGCCGAATAAAGTTGTAAAACACAGGGGACTTCAGGTCATGCATTTCAGTCACACACAAACGTTTGTACTGTTAAACCGCAGATCTTATAAAACATGATAACGTACTAAAAAATTATGTAACCTAACTGCGTGGAGATAAGCAAAGTGCCTCCAACGAGCAGTAGACTTTACAACAGGGTGATTTAGTTTATGGTGTTCCACGTGTTGCTCCATCACCCACAGTATCTTTCTGTAAATAAAACCAAATTAGACCATCAAACGACGCAAAGAGGCTAAATATTTGAGTAATGCGGAGTGGCGTTTTATTCATTGATGCATTTATTGTCATTTCCCCCTCCATCTTGTTTTCTGCCACAGTAATGCATTAGCCCTCAGTGACGCTATCAATCAGAGGCTAATGGGTTGTAATTGGAGGCAGGCCCCAACATCACAGACAGCGGGGTCTCTGGATGGCATAATAATCACACGTACAGTGGAGAATCGCGATTAGGTCCCTGGGCGATCTCGTGGTACAGGTTAACATCATTTCCAACTCATTTTCCCATTGAAACCGATAATACTCAACCCCGGTGATGTCTTGCGTTAATCAACAAGGTTAATATAGTGAGAGGTTAAAAGAGAGATGACAGAGGAATGAAAGGGAGTGTTAGATCAGTCAATGGGAATAAAAAATACTGCAGCATTTTGAGTCTTTACGTGTGGATCCTTCAGGGAAAAATTGTTCAAATTGTGTTTTCCTGAAAACCCTCAGTGAGTAAACCGGAATACCTGCGCCGCCGGAGCCATTCCCCAAAGACGACTGTCAGCCCAAAGTCTTCCTTCCACTTTCAAGCCACCTGACGCTGTCTGATGCTATCTTCACACAGCTGTCCGTGACAGTCAGTTGATCGCTGTCAAATGTCTGAGCCATCACACACACACGTACACACACATACACGGTTAAAGAGCCACAACAAACAGCAGAAGCTGATAAGACTGTGGGTTAAACTCAGGAAAAACACACCGTCTGCTTTGCTGCTTTTTCTCATGGGAGGCCTTACCGTTTGTCAGAAAACAGGAATTAATATCCCCTGCTGAATTCACACCTCAGGTATTTTATCGTTGCAGAGTTAAAGGAAGGCACACTACAAACAACTTCTTACTTCATATATGAGATCATGTGTGCCAGTTCTTTAGAATGGAAGTAGAGAGCAGATCAAGTGTTGTAGATGTCTGAAAACATAAAAGTTTCATAAAGATGCTCTCTGTTTTCACACATGCTGCAGCTGAGAGCCCAAAACCTATAATGGCTATCAAATTAGCCATTTAGCGAGTGAAACCAGATCATTTCTACAAGCTTAGGTAACCACAAACAGAGACAGAAAGAAATCATTGAGGCTAATTTGACATATTCAACAGTATTTTATCAGCAACTGAATCCTTTTTTATATATTTCCACTCCTTGCTGCAGAACATAACTTGTGAAATTCAAGTTTTTCGCTTGAATCACTACTTAGGCTAAAACAAGTGTAGGACTCACAAATATAAGAGATGGGGTAAACATGAGACAGTTCAACAAAACGATGAATCATTATTACAGCTGTGCGTGGATTGAATGGAACAGTTTTTACTCTTGTTATGTCTTCTCCAGTAAATCAGTTAGCTTTGTGCAAACACACCAGTGGTTTCCTGCTGACCTGCTGGAAAACCAGAGTAAACAATTCCAGGCAATTGAAAACTGCCATACATCGTGTTTCCACACTTTCTAGTCAAACTGGTTTACAGAGCATGTGATCAGAATGTAAAAGTATGTTGTTGTTCATTTAAAAAGGGGAGAAACCCTCAACTTGATTTCACACGTCTAAGATGTCAGCATGATATAAATCCTGCAGCTGTTTGACTTCCTGGTCAGCGATGTTTGAGATATATTACTGACATTATATATCTCAAACAGAAAATCTATAATAGGATCACCAAGTCTTAATTTCCAGTTACTGGAGATCAATATTTGTTTTTACTTACTGGCTTCACTGTCCTGATATTCCATTAATGTTTTTCAGTTGTATTGATGGATACAGTAACAACAACGATACTGTATGGAGATTATAAGCATAGCATTTATCCAGAAGCAAAGTAGGTCAAGTTGTTTGCCCAAGTATTATTATTATTTTATATATTTTTTTATATTTATATTATATATTATTTATATTATTTATATTATATTATATATTAAATACTGTCATTCATCATAGCTTTCACTCTTTAAATAATTTAATAGAACCTAACCATTTACCGCATTTCTACCATGACTGATATTTTTTCATTTTTCAATAAATGCATCTAATTTAATTTCATAAATCATTTTGGTGATGAAGTTATTTTTTCTATATTAACCTTAATATCCATGTGTTTACTTCATAAATAACAAAACAATAGACAGACTTCCATTACTGGATCAGTGATGTTTAATGATGAAAAGCATTGGCGGTAGTTCTGTAAATCCCAGCAGAAAAGCATTTATAAATCAAATGCTTGGTACGTTTTGTTGTAAAACATTTGATGCCGGTGTTTTCATTAATACCAACCATAAGAATAGGCTCTTTTTTCTCTGAGATGTGTACAGTAATACATCAACATACCATAGAGATCAACAGCAACATTGTACATTCAGTGATGACTGATAAAACCCCTTTAAAAATAGGAGTAGTCATGAAGGAGGCTCGTGATTTACGGTGCCTTTGCAGACAATGTGATTTCAATGAGGATTTGAATAAAATTCATGAACACACACACACACACACACACACACACACACACACACACACACACACACACACACACACACACACACACACACACACACACACACACACACACACACACACTTTCCCATCGTGCNTTGAAAAGATAATACATTTGCAACATAGGTAGTCCAAATGTTTGGAAATGAGTCCTGGATGGATATCCTCGTGGATTCATCTTCCTATTATACACACATGCATTTCCAAACATTTGGACTACCTATGTTGCAAATGTATTATCTTTTCAATTTACACACGGCATCTATTGCACGTCTGTCCGTCCTGGGAGAGGGATCCCTCCTCTGTTGCTCTCCCTGAGGTTTCTCCCATTTTTCCCTTTAAACTGTGGGTTTTCTCTGGAAGTTTTTCCTTGTACGATGTGAGGGTCTAAGGACAGAGGGTGTCGTATTGTCATACTGATATTCTGTACAAACTTTGAAGTCCACTGAGACAAATGTAACATTTGTGATATTGGGCTATATAAATAAACATTGATTGATTGATTGATTGATTGATTGATTGATTGATTGATTGAATAGTCAGTGCATATTATTATTGTATGGCTCCTTGTAGGCCGATGGTACCACACAGAGTAAGCTGCCATGTCACAGAGTCTGTCCCTTTTTGATGTCCTGTCTAGGTGTTGGTGGATTGTCTCACCCCCCTCCTGCCCTCCCCACTGACAGCAGCTTTGACTCCCTCTTTAAAGAGTTCACCAGCTTCATGTTTGGCTCAGAGGAGAGACGGGTGTCCTCTCCAGAGCTCCAGGACTCGTCTGGATACCAGGCAAGTCTCCGTCTGTGTGTCAAACCCATTGCTTGTAATCATGAAACAGCAAAGTGAGGTGTGTGTTGTGGTGTGTTCCAGTATGGGGAAGTGATGCTGACAGCGGACAGAGGGGTGTTCCTGCTGCCAGCGGCTGCCATCACGGCTGACTGTGTGGACAGCAGTCCTGCAGGTAAACGCCGTCAGATCCTCACTGTGATGATGGGGCAATGATACATGCTTCAAAGTGTGACAGTAGAACAAGAAGAGACAGCATTAAGAGAGCAAAGTGAGTCAGCAAGGGTGCGCTGATGATGTATTTGTGTAGGCCCACCTGGAAGTCATCATAACATCCCTCAACAAAAAGCAATGGGACTATTCCCTAGGATTGGAATATTGCCAAAACAAAACTGGTTTATGATAATTACACGATTTGTTCAGAAGGATAACTCCTACATTTTAACACCAATGTAGGATTCTTGAAGCATTAATGCAATAGGCAGAAGTGAAAAGCTACCGTTAGGCTAGGAACTACATCATAATCACCCTGCTAAGCTAAAGGCGGCTAATGTTTGCCGTGATGGCGTTTACTAGTCTTATTTAGTCAGTTGTTAGCAACCACTGTCTTTATGACACATAAAAGCTTCGGACATCACCAGTGGGGGATTAAGCGACCTATTATAGGTCTTAGAATTCACTTAGAAATCCCCTTAGCTTATATTGACCACAGAACTTATTTCAGTATTTTAACCAAAGCCATATTGACTGAAACAAGGGAACAGGAATTAGTCAAATACTGAATCATCTCTGGTTTTTATGACTCAGTAAGCTACACATTGATATCTACAGTATCTAGATTCAAATCACAGTGTCAGACTGTCAGATATGAAATACATCCTCAGTATTTGGAGCCTTTTTAATAAGTCCAATCACAGTAAGAACGCTTCATGTCAGGAGTTTGATTAAGGTTAGCTTGAACTCTGAGCTGGGAGTACTCCCCCTTGTTCACATGGAGTTACCTTTGTCACGCTTCCACCCACTGGTTGATTGTAAATGGGTCCTCACGAAGCGATTGTAGGATAGTAAATAGAAATATACATGATGTGCAGAACTGATTTGAAAGAGATGAACATGTATTTGTAGTTTTGCTGAAGTGTCATAACAACAACATTTATGAGAGGATAGGCAGAGTCACAAGACTGCAGTCATAACACAAAGTGCAACACAAAAAGCCAGCGGGGGGGTAACACAGCAGACACTTTTCTGTCTTTGCTTCTCAAACAAGGGCAATGCTTCATGCTTTTATTTACTCACATGATTTCATCTTTCTATGCTATCATTATTTCAGTTGCACCAGTTCAATATTTGGAGTCCTTGTTATTTGTTAAAGGAGTAGTCTGCCGTTTAGGAAATAAGCGTCTTTCTCATCTCATCACTACTATTTCAGGATGGAAACACACTGATGAGAGTTTCAAGGAAGTGCTGTTGATTTAGTGAGCTGCTGTTTCCTGTTTGTGTCCTCTGCAGGCTTCCTGAAGGATCAGAGCAGTGTGTGTTCCCGCCGTGTGACCCTGCAGGAGCACTGCAGTTCCCTGCCCCCCCTCAGCATGAACACATACACCGACATCCAGCTGCTGGCTGTGAGTCTGCATCAGGGAGGGGCTTTCAGTGCACTCAGATAGACTGACGTTAAAGGGGTCGTCCACCTGATTAACAAAACACACCTTGTTCTAATTGTATCATTAAACTGCAAATCTTTAAAGCTGAAGTACTGTTTCAAATGATTGATTTGGTAAGCTAGTCAACATTCTTTGGTTCTATTTGCTCCCAAAATAAGGATTTCTGTATTCTAGACAGTGGTTCTTGGTGAGGTTTTGCTTTATGCATGTTTTGTACATTTTGTAAAAGGACACCAAGTAACAAGAATGAGAGAGATATGCCTAAAACCAGAAAACCTCAAGTTTATGTACATTTAAAGGTTTGAAACTAAATATGTTCTCTCTGCAGGGGAAGAATGAAGACGCAGCAGTGAGTACGCCTTCTTTTGTTAAATGCTGACACCATGGTTACTTATGATCAGAATCAGGTTTATTGGGGATGAGTGGGTAATAAAGAGCACTCATATGCAGTAAGCGCTCACCTATTGTGCAAGATCCACTGTTTCAGATTCTCTCTCTTTTTGTCCTGATCCATTTCTATAAAAACCTGTCTGAAAATCAGCTGATCAGATCTTGGCCACTTTATGATGTCATAACGTTTTTTTGGCTTATGTAACCATTAGCCAATAACCAACCAAGGTAACCTTATCACCTGATTCTCCTCCTAGAGCACCATTGAGTTATTTTTAACCAAATATCTCTCAGAGGGGCGTGGGGAGGGGCTCCTTATTTTCATCTAAAGTAACAGACAGAGAATCAGCACTTTTGAAACAGGGCTGAAACAGAGGGGATTATGCAGGGCCACACTAATTTGCGGCTCAGTTGAGGCTCCATCCACAAGATGGGGCCCCCTCCGCAAGGTGAGGCCCCACGCAGTCTGCGTGATCGGCCTGTAGGGAGGGACGGCCCTGGGTTTATGGGGTGCCACAATGCATGATCTGTTTGGTATTTCGAGCCAAACACTTCAGAGACATGTTTGTATATATCTGAGACCTATAATATATTGATGAAAAACAGTATAATACTGGACCTTTAAAGTACCAACTCGACCATGTGGAAACGTATGCAGAGTTTGGCTTTGGTGTTGGTCGGGCTAAGACTTGGTGCCAAAGTTGAAGCCATTTTTGGCACCTCTGCAGTTTGAATACAAAAAAGAAGACTGGTTCGAGATTGGGCTCTGGCTCTAAGTTGGCCTAGAACTGCCTTGGCGGTAAATCACTATTGGACAATGTCCAGGAGGTGTCTGTAAATCAGAAGATCCTTTTGTTTGAGGTAAATCCACTACCCATTGAGAACACCTAAATACCCATTGAATCCAGACTTTTTGTTGTTGTTATTAATGAGCTGAGACCAGGCGGCTTGGACATAAGGAAAACATTTCTTTACTTGCTCTAAGGGCCCAACCGATGGGACAGATTTTGGTAAATGTATACTTATATCTTTTTTGTTTGTTAACTTTGTTTTTTATTGTTCATGCTCTGCTGAGTATCTTCCATAAGAACGATGGAGGTCCTACCTCAATGCTGTCCCTTCTCTTTATACACCCATGGAAAAGACCGGCATAGATTATGTGGACAGAAAGACGTAATTCTGTATTTCTTGCTTCTCTTTTCTGTCCTCTCTTCAGCTCGAAGATGGAGCGTGAGAGTGTGAAATTGCTGCTACAGACAGGGAGTAGTCACAGGGATGACATGATGGTCGTTAGTCACACTGGGTCACATGATGGCTGCCGCTGTAGAAGGAGGCCGTGGTATGAGTGTCCTGAGTCACCTTGTTGTCATCTGATGACAGAAGTGTATTCATACATTAGGGACATTAGTCAGGGTGATTCTCCTCCATACTGTGATGTAACTGCCATGAGGATGTTTGTTTGGTGGAAACTGTCTCATTTCCCCTTTTTAATTTATGTTTTTGCTGGCAAGTGTCTGGATAGAAGGACGCTTTCTCTTTCGCGTTATCATCCATTCCTTTTTGTTTCAGCCCAAAAACATCCTCCTCTCTTTCCCAGCCATGTTTTAGTTTCTTCCCACAGGTGAATTCTCCTGCACCCTCCCTCCTTTGTCTCTCGTCTACCACCCTGCCCCCTCTCGCTGCCAGCTTTTTCCCAGAGAAGTCAACCTGTTATCGGCAGGGTCTATGAATAGCACACGGTTGGAGCTGCGACCCACTCAACCCCCTAACATAGCTCATGTCTTATGCATTACTCCTGCATGCTGAATCCCTAAAGCCCTATTTCTACTCGGCTGTAGTTCTGCTACAACACCTAGTTCCCAAAAAAATGCTGCGTAACACCAACATATTTATTTACATACCTTATAGGGTATTTAGTAATGCTCTAAATGTTCAGATAAAAGGCACTATAACACAGTTCTCCAATAATGTGCACACATCTCAGTTCATTAACAGCAGGCAGTTCATCTCAGTGTCTGAATGTCTCAGGTGCATCGTGCTCCTCTTGAGCTGAAAAATATGGTAAAATGTGTGAAACTGCTACTAAATTGTGACTCTCATTTGCATTCTGCACACATTTTCTCCCACCTGTCCTGCACCAGACACCAGCGTACACTGTTTATTCATCTAAAGATTTCAGCTCAGCAGTCAGAGCTGCAGATGCAGCGCAGAGATAAGCGTCCACTGTCGTCGATGCCATCATTCTTCCTACGTTCCTGGAAACTTGGTTGTGGCAAGATGCTTAATTTCCAAACACTGAAACCTGTTTACAATGTGCTGAGCAGCGGCATCATCCTCCCAGTGTTTCTCCTCTATGCCACAGCTCCAATAATACACCAGGGACAAGAAGCTTAGCAGTGACAGCCCCAAATCCTTCTTTCCACCGCACTGATTTCTGGATTAAGGAGGGGAGATTTCCACACCTCTGAATTGTATTGTGTTATGAGGCTCATGCATTTTCATGCATTTCATTTTCATGCATCTTTTATTCTGTAGCGTGCGTCGAAATAGGGGCATTTCCTTATTTACACAGATTAAGAGTGATTCTGGATGGTGCATGGGAGGCTATAAATGAGGTTTGAAGCAGGGAGAAGGTGGTGAATAAGAGCGATTATCGTGGTAAACCCCCGGTTATGGGGGGATTTTTGGAGCTAAATAATAAACATAACACCTGAAAAGAGTACTTATGGATATTTTGGTTCTTGAAAAGCATGCTCACTCAAAGCAGGTTTTTTTGTATTAAATTCAAGCTATGCCTCATATCTGGACTCAGCTCACCCACTGCTTTGACAGATTTGGATGCCACTTAAAAGGCTGGGATATATTTTCATTCCAGCCTGATAAAAAAAAATCCTCCCCTCTTCATTCCTCCTCCTCTCCCACTTCTTTGCCACTCCTTTTTTCCCTCTCCCTCGCTCCTGTCCTCCTGGACCCTCCTCACGCCCTTCGTCATTTTTTCCCTCATTCCATTAGCAAACATTGTTTTGACTTTCCAGGTTCCGCATTCCTCCACACGGCATACCGGCCGGCCGGACCGCTGGAAGAATTCCTGGCCTGTGATTATCCACTCATATTTCATTCGCACGCACGCACGCACACCCGCCGCCGCACGCACGCACGCACGCACGCACGCACACACACACACACACAGGGGAGGCCATAAATTAAGAGAATAGGGTGTACTCTTTTATTACCTCTGATCAATCTGGGGAGATTTGTGTTTTGTTTAACAGATGCCGCATGGCAAACTGTGTGTGTGTGTGTGTGTGTGTGTGTGTGTGTGTGTGTGTGTGTGTGTGTGTGTGTGTGTGTGTGTGTGTTCCTTTTATTTGCCTCTTTGTGAGCCAAATTAAACACAGCCTTCTTGCGTATTTATTTTACATTTGCTGAGAAATTAGCTTCTGAAGAGCAATTAATTAGGAGCAGGAAATGATGAAAATCTAAATCAATCATACTCAAATTTCCCTCATGGTGCATTTGTAGACATGCATGTGCATCCATAATTATGGCAAAACACACATTTTGTTGGAAGTAACTGTAATTGTTGCGTGAATGAATAAACATATTAAACCAGTTTATGTATCTGGAGCAGACACATTACCGCATTTTCACACACAAACACATGAATGCACGCACAACTCAACAGATACACACCCACACAACTTACCAGTTGGCAGTGGGTGTTAATTGTGTTGGGCCTCAGGGCAAAAATAACATTGCACCAAAGACGGAGAGAGGGAGAATGTTTTGTCTTTCTCCAGCCGCCACCTTTCTATTAAGACAAAGGACGCAATTATGTTATATTACAAATATTTAGGACACTGCGTCTTCTATTTTAAAAATCAAATGGTTCCTTTTTATGCTATGTATTATCAGGATAAGAGAAAAGATCTGTTCTTTTGTGAAGTTTTCTTTCTTTTCTCCTTTACAGCCTTCATCCCCCAGTGAGTCCCAATAGACGATGTTTTCATGACTATATGACTGTTAATTGCTAATTAGGCCAGTGTAGCAACAGACCCCTGTGTGAGGTGATAGCGCTCTGTCGGTGTACACAGAATAATTACAATGAAAGGTGTTGTAGGAGCGTGTCAACATCTGTTCCTGAGTGTCTCTAAGAGAAGGAACAGAGAGGAGCGCTCACAAATGTGACAGGTTGTATTTATCGGCACGGTGGTATTTGTGCAAATATTTAACGGATCACTTGCTCCACTGCAGTTGATATAGTAATTTAAGAGCAAGTACTGAGACAGTGTTTCATTTCCTTGTTTTACACGTACATCTGATGCAATACAAACCTGAATGATTTAATGGAGCCTGCATCATTTCAAGTCTGTATACATATTTTTAAGAATGTCTGTACACATTTTGGCAAAACAGTTCTTTTTTATTTTAAACTTAAAGTTCATGGTGAACCAATTCTATGTAAATTAACTTTTCGCGGGAAAAGTCCTTGAACTAATGAACTGGTTGGGGCAAAACCAGTGACCACATTTGCTCAAACACACATCCTCAGCATGTCAGCGTAGCATTTCAGGAACAAAAACACTAATGGAAAGAAATATAACCACCAATTAGTGCTTTCTGTATCCATTTCTAATGTTCCTGCAACACTAGATACTTAAACAGTTTCATACAGAACGTGTGTGTGTGTGTCAGGAATGTTTATAAATTAAACTTCCCAAAAGTAACCAGTTAAACAGGGTTTAAAGGTTAACAATAATAATCTTCTCATAAAATATTGTAACACTGCTGTTGAATTGTAGTTCAGATCACGCAACCACACACACACACACACACACACACACACACACACACATCCCCCCACGTTCTGCTGTATAGCATGTGTCTCTGTGTTTGAGGTTTGGGACTACAGCTCGCTGCAAAGCTTGTCTGTGGTGAGAAGTATTCTGAAAACTCATGTTGGTCTAATGGATTTAATATGGCTGTAAATTATAGTCAACAGAGTGGCAGAGCATCAGCACCACTCACATGGAAATGAGCACTACTTGAGTGCCTTTAAACCGGTACTCTAAGTTTTGTCAGGAGTGTGTGTGTGTGTGCAGCATCTTCATTTACACACATGTTTCAGCAGACAAAGTTGTGTGTGTGGTCAGTTTTGTCTGTTTATTCTTTGCTCCTTCAAATTCTTAAGACCACTACCTCTTATGATTTTCTCTTCATTCTACATTTCATGCTTTGTTTCATACCGATGCATTGATTTTTTTGTCAGTCTATGATTAATTTCATGCTTCATTTGGATGGATTGTCTAATTACTCAGTCAAATGCTTCACAGTGACAGCTTGTAAAGGCTCCAGCTATACATTTAATCTGCTGTTAGTCTGTATTGCCCTTTTATTTCTCAATTCATACGACATTAACAATGTACATTTTCACAGTAAATTACCAGTGCAGAGGTATGACGCTCAATAGGATATATGCATGTGTGCCATGTATGCATTGGTGTGTGAGTGTGAATTTGTGCGTATGCGTGACTGAGCGTGTTTTTGTATCTAAACTGTTGAGCGTGCGAATGTTGGAAGCATGCAGGCAGATTTTAACCTGCGCCTCTGCCTCATTAGGCCTGCCTCCGTTGCCATGGTTGTCTATTAGAGCAGCGGAGATTAAAGACTCATTTACATGTGAAAGAGGAGAGTGGTTTGAGGGAGAGAGGGAGAGAGAGACTACACTCTGCTGCACTCCACTCACTTTATTCTGAAGGAGAGGGTCAGATAGGGCGCAGGCAAATGTTTGCAGAAGCTTTAACCAACATTTTGACCATCTACGTGTGTGTGTGTGTGTGTGTGTGTGTGTGTGTGTGTGTGTGTGTGTGTGTGTGTGTGTGTGTGTGTGTGTGTGTGTGTGTGTGTGTGTGTTAATTATTGACTTGCCTGCAGTTTATCATATTAACCCATCTGTTAATAAAAATAAAAAAGTTCCCTGAGCTCCCAAACATTTTCAAAATCGGTCAAACCCTAAAGTTAGTTGTTGTTACTATACACAATTCCGTCTTCGGACACGTGGGAATGCTGTTTTTCTTTTTATTTCATTATATTTAAATACAAATAAAAACGTAGTCCCATGTGCCAAAACACTAAAAATATTATGATAATAAAATCTGTATCCCAGAAACTACAAAGAGCACAATCAAGTGTGTGCTATCTTTAAAACCATGATGAATATGAACAGTATACACACATATCAAAGACATTTAAGTAATACAATGCTTGATATGTGTCATTTAAAAAAAGAAATCATGTTCAATCATTGTTAAAAGTGTGAGCACTCATTAGACACAGCTCAAAATGTGGAAGTTGTACTTTTAGATACCTGTCCACAGAATGTTTGTACCAGATATCAAGACACATCTGAAGGAGTGTTGAAGCTTGTTTTTTTTTATCATACTAAATATAGTTTCTAGCCAAATATGGGTTAAATGCACTCATACACAAGTTGCTGATTTTCTTTTGACTTTTAGTGCAACTACATACATTTCGCCGGCCTGTAGTCACAGTTTGCCTGAGGACATTAATACCTGAGTGCACTTGTGGCCTGTGGTTGGAGATGTGGGGCATGTAAACACAGAATGTTTGTTCAACGTGAACTACCTCACTGCTTGGTTTCCTGTCTATCTCTAGAGTCAAATAAGGGCTTTGATAACATTTTGAATCATTTATTTGAATTACATTCATGGAAATGTACATGGAGATGACTCTTCATAACATTAATATGTATTGTGTGTGTGCGGCATGTGTCCGTGTGAGACAGGTGGATGTTTTGCATACTGCATGTAGGCCAACATCTGGCATCCTGCCACACCTGATCTGCAACGAGATAAAAACTCGGAAGTTAGTTTTATTTCATGATTTGTGTGAGGGGAAATAAACCGAATTAAGGTGACCCTGCAGAGGAGAGGAAATGCTGTGATGTGTGTTCATTGTGCCGCTTCTTGCTCACAGATCTACAAGGTGGACCTAATGACTTTAAGCATGTCATTACTGAGGTTGTTCATGGGAGGCATGAGTCACCTCCATCTCTCTCCCGCTCTATAATGTGCATCATGAACCACAGCAGGAAAGGCAAAGTGGAGCGCAGTTTCACTCTGACTCACACAACTTTGACCGAAACAAACCACAAGCCCCACCAGTCGGCCTGGAGTCACGCTGAACCGTGACTCTGTTATTGCTCCGCACAACACAACAAAATCACAATGGACCAATTAGCCAAATGAAGTGTGACATTTTTGCTAAAACTAAATACACACAAACACAGATTTCGTAGATTTATAACATAATTCATGCCGTGTGGAGCCTTGGAGTATATGAAAATCACAATAGCCTTTCCCAACACACAGTCCGCTGGCCATATTTTAGATTCCTAATAAGCCAAGTCTGTGGGCTACAGGCAGCAACAGACAGCAAGGAGAGAATCTTCTCTATGAATATTAATGTGTGGTGCGGGGGAGGTTGAGGGGCAGAGCGGGTGGGGAACCAAAGCCTCCTCCAAATCCTTTCGCAGATAAACTGAGAGGGGAAGAGAGATGATTACATGCATGGTTTTTCACAGGGCTCCCCCAAATCTCATTTTCTGTAGTGCATTTTAATGGGATCCTCACACACACTAAGTCTCTGGATGCCGCCATTAAAACGGGGGCAGATAAATTCCCAGCTCACTTTTTCATGCATGGCCTCGGTGTGGTTTTGTCACGGTTTTTACGGGTGCAAAAACTGGGCCTTGCCGACCCTTTTTGTCTTTGTAATGCTCCTTATGTATCACTGTCATTTAAATGCAGCCCAAGACAACAGAGCTGCGAGAGATGGATGACACGAGGCGCTGGAATGGGAATCAAAGTCATTCTCCGCTGCAGATGATGGAAGAGGTCACCACATACAGGCCCGCAGGGAAAAGGATTTGTACATATGTGTGACATTAAAACGTGACGGAAAATTAGTTTATATGAAGAATAATCGGCCACATCTGATGATGTTGTACAACATGTGCAGGCTTTTAGGATGACCATTACCACCAAGTGTGAAAGTTTTAACACAAAACATTTCAAAACTGACCTTTACTCTCCTTGATTTCATGTCACGTGCCATGTTTTCCCGTTTTGAAATCTGAGACTCAGACATTGATCTTCTTCCATCTTGTGTTTATTGCTGATAGCCATCGGGGTGACCTGAGCACACACCGGGGACTGTTTGATTACACAGTCTTTCTTCACGTGTCCATCAATAATCTGACTGATGCAATCATTCATGTGGCCATTTCAATCAATCCCTCCGAGGGAACTGCAGTCAAACTCCAGGTCACATCACGTGACAGAGGCTTCACTTCAGTTTTATGGCATCGTTACAGCGTTCATTTTACTATCTGGAGTTTACCAGCCATTTACTATCAATCTGTTGGTTAAATGGGCCATTCATTAGTTGTTATGTAGCGACTGCACTTTCGGTTGGAGGGTGATTCGGAAACACTGGCAGCATTTGCTAAAGAATTTGCACAAATAATCTCTATTTGAATAATTTTTACATCAATCAATCGCTTTGTATATTGTTTCATGGTACCAAAATACAACTTAGCCTCAAGTTTTAAGATAAAGATGATTCGAACAGTCATTTTAAAACATGTGAGTTGTCCTCAAGTCTGCTGGGTTCAGCCTATGAGCATTATATTTTCTGATGAATAATTGGTCAGTTTCATTTTATTTGGACATTTTATTTAGACGCGCCATTCAAAGCACCCAAGGACATCTTACAATTTAGAAAATAAACAACATTTCAGTGTATTATCCGGCATGCTGTCTTTTTGCATTCCTAGTTGCTATTTCTCTTTTTGTTTTGCTCTATTTTTATGGATCCCCGAGGCACACTTTCTCTCTGGTGCTTAAAATGATTCTTTGAAGGAGCTCTTCTGCAGAAAACCCAAAGGGACTTCAGAGAGACATTTACAAACTGGTATTGTCTCGAGGAGAATGTCTCATTTAGATTGTTTACCCTTGGTAAGAGAATGTTTTAATGTCTTTAGAATCATTGATTACGCTGTGAAGCATTGATTGCTTGTGAGGTCAGGTCAGAGGTCTTTATACTTTTCATAGTGGACACTAGTTAACGAGCAGACTTGTTTATGTGGCGCTAAACAAACCGGTTTCTCTCTTCAGCTTCAAACATGTGCTCATAGCTCATGGTGTGTGTGTGTGCTGAGCTGAGCTGGTATAAACAACACGATCTGGCAGTTCTGCAGAAATATCAGAGAGCAGATGACAAGTATGATAGAAGAGGATGGTGTGTGTATTTAGAGAGATCAAGTGTCTGCACTTGTATGCATTATAACCAGAAAGATTGTCTTATGTCTGTAGTGTGTTTGCAGAGCCTTTTTATTCCACTGCCTTCTTGCTTGGATCTCTGCAGCTGCATCTATCATCTAGCAGGATGTATGAGCAGTTCAATGCGATTTTGCCTCAAATATACAGTGTTGTTTTTCTTTTCGTTCTCTCTGTGCTGCATCCAGGTACAACAGAAGCTTGTCTCGCTCTTTTGCATACATTTGTATATTTGTTTGGATCACCACCATCCATTGAATGTTTTTGCCTCACTGACATAAGTGAAATATTGTTTCAACTTCAATTCTATGTGAAAACCAGAGTGACAAAAACGCTATCTGCCCGACTGTGTGCGTGCATGTGCCTGTGCCAGTAAAGTTGATAAGTCAGATTCAGTTCGAAGATAAAACAGTGTGAGTTCAGCTTCTGTGTTGCTCACTCTCAAACTAAAAAGTGTTAGATTAACATCACACATCCAAGCCCTGCTCCGGGCCCCAATTCCAGCTCCATAAATGTCTTCTGGAAAAACCCTAGGAAACTGTGATTTTTTTCTCCATAATTCACTTTCAGCCACAGCACCATTGGGTATCTGTTTGTGTGTGGCTTTTTGAGTGTGAATGGAAAAGGTGTGTGTGATTGTGTGCACACACAGCGCAAATGCAGTTGCAGTTTGTGCAAAGGTGTGAAAAGTGGAACAAAGCTGTCGATAAAACAGCACTGTAGCTCTTCCTCAGCCTCTGTGGTGTGCCTGTGTGTATGAGAAGGGGGCTAATGTATGTAGTATGTTTGAATGTGTGTGTATTTTTGTTTGTTTTTGACTGGAGTAAGGTTAGGTTTATTTCCAGCGTATTGTCTGTGTGCAGAAATGCTTTGTTTTGAGCTGTTGACAGATCAATGAAAACATGAATAAGAGGCTCATCAGGTTTGATCTGACCGTGTGCACACTGAGAAAACTGTTCCACACAGACAGTCTTTTAGTCATCCGCTCGTCTCAGACACAAAAGGGGCTCTTTGAAAACAAGCCTCGACCAAAGGAGTTTGGCGAGAGCTTCGACCTGATGACGGCTCTCCAACCTGGGACACAGGGAAAGACAACCTTCCCTTTGTCAGTGTGTGAGCGTGGGTAAAGCTGAACAGTCACAAACTGTTACTTCAGCTGTCACCATATCTGGATGTGAAGTGTTACTCCCTTATTTCCCACCCACAGCATCAACATCCTTTCATACCCAGAGGCTATCGGTTGTGGCGGGGATGATTAAGCGGGATTTGCTGTCGATCCTTTACCCACCCCTTCTCCTCAGGCAAAGCCATGTCCGCAGCACTACAGAGAGCGGTGAGTCATGGAGGGATTGCCAGCCGTGTCAGAGATAAAGACAGCGGAGGAGGCAGTGACTGACAGAATGGAAAGTGTAAACACAGATGACCTCCAGGCAACTTTTCTTTTGACATCTGTCTCTTCTCTGCCTGTGTTTTTGTCTTTACTGGTGGTTGGTGTGGTGATTCATTTCCATGTTTTTTTTTCTTGTCATCCTCTCATTCCTTCCTGCAAACCTCTCCACTCTGAAAGAACCCCAACATTCCTCTGTGTAACCATTCCTGTCTTCTTTGCCCAGTAGGAAACTGCTGTCCAATCCATAAGTCATGATAACAACCGTCTTCCTCCTTCCCTCCCACACACACACACACACACACACACACACACACACACACACACACACACACACACACACACACACACACTCACACTCACACTCACTCACACTCACTATAAGTCGGGCGCTGGAGGCCCCCTCCTCTCCTCGCTCAGAGCATGATGTCAGACGTCTGCTAGCTGACAGGTCTTGCCCTGGGAAAAACATGCATATGTGTGTTTAAGTGTGTGTGCTCACACCACAGGGACCTTGCAGGCACATCAGCTTACCCGTCCTCATGTTCCACATGTGTGCGAACACACGCTAAATACACACAACCAGCTGAAATTATATACAGCACCCAAGCCAGAGAGAGAAACCGTGCTTTTAAAATGGATGTATTCCATGACTTTAGAAGGAAAATCTCACGTGCGCCGCCAAACATGTAACATAATGATCAAGAGAAATGTTGTATTCAACTCCATAAATGGCAAGAATGATTTACATTTATTTGTATAATACAGTTCGAAAATCAATCTATTATTTTTGCCAAAACTCCAGTTCAATTTGGCCTCCCATCGTTTAGGCCGCTGTATGAAATGCTTACTCTCCTCATATGGCCTTGTGTTATTGATTTGCCATTATGTTGCATGTGGGAGAAAATCCATTGCTCTCCCTTTAAATAACCATCACATGAAGACAAGAGAGATATATCATGGAGAAACCATATCGAATTGGAACACATGGGACGCCCGTTGTAAGCGAGGCAATCTTCTCTGTGTGTCTTATGTCTGACAAAGACGAAGCTTGTGAATTATGTTAAGCTTTGCTGATTCAGGCTTTTCTAGATACCCGGAACGTGTTTGTTGTTCGGGGGGGTTCCTCCTCACATAGAGGGTATTCCAATAATCTGCATGTATTCATATCGCCCAGTAAGCATGAAAATGTCTGCTCTACTTTGAAACTAGGCTAAATTGTAGTCTGAAACTGAATTCTTGCCATTGGAAATAATAGTCTGAAAAATATATTCGAACAACAAAGTACACTCGATATTATAAAAAGTGAAAAATTGAGTTATTGTCACTGTAATTGTTCCTCTTCATCCTGGTTATAGGCAGACGTGCTCCTAATGTGGTTTTAATGTAACAGCTCATTTGAAGTTTGACCAAATCAACATTTTTGTGTTCCACCGAAGCAGCAAGGACACTCAATCTTGAGAGAAAGAATTTGTAGTTCTCACATAAAAAGATTTGAATGCATTTTTTAACCGTGGATTTTGTTCGGAAGAGATCTCTTTAGAGCCTTAGGAGCAGCAACATATTACTCTTTCAATGCACAAAGGAGCGTGTGTGTATTGATTAAAGACAGATTTCATAAAATGTCAACCTGTCTTTCAAGAAAATGCTGTAAACAGCTATTATGTGTGATGTAGACATGAAAAACAAATGCCAAATCCACGTTCACAATGTGTGCTGATGGGTAACACATTGGGTTTTTGTAGTTGCCAACTTCACATAAGCAAAGGAAAACAACAACATTAGGTTCAGTGGCATACTGTAATCAGAGGTTTTTTATGTTCATGTCAACATAGTTTGAATTAATATTTTAAATCCTTCCAAGGCACTCTTCACCTATTTTCCCCAAGCACTTAACCCAAACTATATTTAGAAGAATGTATGAGCTCATAGCTGATGTTTCATGTGTTTCCATCACTCAGAGTAATAATCTCTTCTCTCCACATTAAGTATGTATTTAGGTAGTTGTGTTATTAGTGTAAGCACATTTTCTAACACGTGACTGACACACAGTGACAGTACAGGCCACGCAGCAGACAAAGGGCTGTCTGTGCTGTTGTGTTCAGGAAGAGGCCTGCGTCTCTCTGATGTGGTGATCTGCAGTACCTGCGACACACACTGAGTTCCTGTGTTGAGTGTATGATGTCTGGGCCACGTGGCAGGGTGAAGAGTGACACACACACACACGCACACACACGCAGACTGCCAGCTCTGCCTAAGTGAGTCCTCCTGACAATCTTGCCTTAGGGCAGCAGTGTGGGAGTGAGAGGTTATTATGAAGCCATGTGGGAATTATGGCTTATTGTCTGGGAAGTTTTTTTTACAATGCAGGATATCTTTGAATGCACAGAAGATGGGTAAACAGCCTGAGTTATTGAAACAAGATATTTCAATTGAAATGCCCAAGAAAGAAAAATGACAAAGGAGGAAAAACAGCTAGAAAACAGTAGATAATATTGAGCGGGAACTTCTTTGTTTGTATTGTGATTTAAAATTGCTGCGGATGGCGGTTTCTCAGTTATTGTCAGGAAATGGCAGACGCTTGGTGGTTTGCTCGATTATCTCTCTTAATTTAATACAAATCTTAAATCCCTGTTGTGCTCTTTGCTCAAGTCAAAGAAGCTTGCTTTATCTCTCAGCTCCTCCTCTCAAGCTCCTTCTCTTTGCTCTCCACGCAGCCAATCAAACCCTAAAGTGAATTATGATAAAAAAAGAAGAAGAAGAAAAAGAAGCAGTGGTGCGAACGCCTGCAGAGCTGAATTTCCATATAGATAGACGAGCACATTAAAGTTGTCTATCTGCAAGCTCACTGTCCACCCTTCCTCTTATTAGATTTTGATGGAAAGATGGCAGCTTCATCAACATCATCAACCAGAAAAGCTGCCAATTCCCCCCCGCCCAACCCTCTCTGCGTGGCGTGTTTCTATCTGCCCCGGACACTTGATTGTTTCTGAACCCATGTTGACCCCGTAAAGAGGAACCTGCGGCTGGTTTTCCTGCCACGGTTTGTTGTGTTCATTTAAGGCTCTTATTGCTCAAGCTTCTTCTTCCTCCTGTAAAAAAATAGAGTTCATGATTTTCTCAGTAGTGAAAAAAAAGGGGGAAGAAGAGTGAAGGCAGCTCCTCATCATGGTGCTTCCAGGCTTACATGTAAATTAAAATGCAATTAAAAACAGGCAAATAAGCTGTTCCCCGGAGATGGGGAGGGGAGGAGGGAGGGGAGGAGGAAATGGAGGAAAGGGCTCTCAGGATAAGGGCCTGCGTCACTCATCATTAGCATGGCATTAGACTGAAGGGAGCTAAATCTGAACACTGGGTCACAGACACATTTAGAGGAGCTGCTACTGCGAGGTCTCCACGCCGATGAAAATAGCCCCCCCATCCCGTGCAGAGGGAATCACTTCTGCCTTAGAAAAACCCATACAATTATTCAGTGGATTTTTCCAGCTATTGTTCTCTGAGGCGTACCATTGTGTGATTACTATTGTGCTTTCGTGTACAAGCTGTGATTTCCTGAACAGAGTATGTATCATTGATGGCAGTGAATAAATCATTTCAACATACAGTATAGCACCGTGCTGCCTTCAGGAACAGAGGGGTCTCAAACCTTCACGCTGCAGCTCAATACCCTATCGACAAGTCGGCTACTCTGCCAGAATTCCACTGCACCACCTCCTTCCTCCGCCCCTGATCCCGGCCCTCACCCCTACCTCCCCCCTGGAAGCCTGGTGCTCTTCTGCGAAGCCCCCCCCCCCCCTCTTCCTCTTCTCTCTCTCCCAGGCTCCCTGCACTCCCCCACCTCCTGCTCAGGCTCCTGGGTTGAGGGGGATCAATGGGGGAAGCTTATTTTGGTGCTGGTGGTTGTGGAGGTGGTGGTGGAGGTGGGGGTGAACCCCACACGACGGCAGCCTTGCAGGCAAGCAGGCGGTAGGGCGCAGAGGGGGAGAGGAGGGGGGAGGAAAGGGAGCCCACCCTGGCAGAGGAGCACCCCTCTTTCGCAGACCTGTCGCCTCGGTGCAACAATGGCCGTGACAATGACACTGGAGGAGGAATTTCCGCTTCCACACACACACACACACACACACACACACACACACACACACACACACACACGCAACCACACACACACACACACACACACACACACACACACACACACACACACACACACACACACACACACACACACACACACCTCCCTACCCCATCTTCATAGTACATTAAAATCTGCGGCGCCAAGATGAATGGCTTCCTAATAGCTTTCATTTGTTACAATTATCATAATTAAACATATGTCAGGGGCAGACAAAGGGAACGTGAGATTTCTGTGTTAGCACCTGAAGCAGAAGGCATGCAGGCAGTGGAAAGGGATAGCTATATCGTTACAGCATAATTAGCCTGAATGTACATTGTAATCATACTGCATTATTTACACCAAGAAGCTTCTATTTCAGTAATTCTGTCAGCGAGTCCCCCTCGTCTTGTTTTCAGTAACAGTGTGAACCTTGATTCTTCTGTCTTCTTGCCATTGAGTGCATGTTTCATCTGTATGTCCTTGTTACATCAGCCAGTTTGATAGTGAAGCTTAATGACCGCCCGCTGAGCGCCGTGAGAATGGCTGTAGGGCCCTCTTAACATTTTTGTAGTACCCCCCTCCTTCGTCTCCTCCAAACCCTGTCCTTGCATTCTGTCCCTTAAACCAATCAACTCTTTTCTTCCTCGTCGCTGTGGAGGAATAAATCGGATGCTTGGCTATTGCAGACGAAGTGGCCTTTCTTTCTTTCTTTCTTTCCTGTCTCTTTTTTTCCCTCTTTCCCTCTTTCCCTCTTCCCACCACACCTTTCTCTTCTCCTTGCCCTCTACATCAATCACACTTTCCCGCCCCCCNAATCGTGGCTTGATATTGAGGAAGAAGATGTTTTTATGAAACACACAGCTTCCGGTCTTCCAAGGCCCGACCGGACAAAAAGACGTATTGCAGGCACGAAACATACTACCAATAGCAATACATTGCGTTTAAAATCGTTCTGTGTGACACGAAAAAAAAAGGGGAGAATCGTGATGTTGAACACGAATCAATAGATTAAATTATCGTGACTATAACACGAAATGCCGTGAGACTGGGTTGGCCTACCGGTGCGCTAATCCCACCACCACCACCTATCTCATAAATACATGAAAGCATAAACTACTTTAACCAACTTAAATAACAAAACTCAACAACAATACCTTTACTATAAACAAAAACAGAAAGAAAATACATGTTCATCTGTTAAATAATAAAGCAATATATAGCTCCAACAGATGATGTTAGCATAGTCACTGAAGCCATTCTGACTAACATGCAAAAGTCCCACATGACTTCTTTTGTAGTCTATGTATTGATTACTCTTAAAAGCAACAGAAAAACGGCTCGGATGCTGAATCAGTGTGCTGCTCTCCAAAATGGGCAATGATAACGAACAAGTGGTTTTTAAAAGTGTAATAATACGTATGCCTGGCTGAGTTTATAAAAATGTGTGGTTGCGTCCTCGGCCCGGTAACACCTCTCTACTCTATTTCTGCCGTACTCGCCATGAACTGTTGTTCAGCGTAAGACTTGGACGGTATGGTACTCAGTTCCAGCTCGGCAGATTGTTGGTTCCAAATGAGAACCAGTTTTCAGGAGGGCAGAGAGCCTGATTTTGAACTGGCCCTGGAACTTCGATGGAAAGTTTTAATCCAGTGTGTAGCAGGTGTGGTGAAAACATCACAGGTGTCCATGAACTCGACCAGTGACCATACTGAAAGAAATAAACATTTTGTGACATAAATAAAGTTGTATTCTTTCTCAACAGCTGTTTTCAGGACAATCCTCTGGCACAGCGCTGTTGATATCAGTACACATGAGTTAAAGTCCCCCGCAGACTTCTGTTACTGTCAGTAGATATGAACAGGGTGAGGATTTGTAATTTCTGATGTAAGCTTCTTTATTCAGCGATGCATCTGCACCAAACTCAAAACATAGATTTTGAAATATCTTGTTTGGTATAAAATGAGTAATGCCTAATATTGTATAACATAAAATATGTAGGTTTTTTTTTATTTTTTATTTTATTTAACCTTTATTTAACCAGGTAAAAGCATTGAGATAGAATCTCATTTGCAATGCTGACCTGGCCAAGAAGGCAGCAACGTTACACATAACACATAACACAAACATATAAAATACAGAGAACATAACTAAGAAAACAAAAGACGAAAAAGCAGTCACTACAGACAGTAAGAAAGGTACTACTTATTACTGCAAGAGCAGCTGGTGGTAAGGACTTCTGACAACTTCAATTTAAAACAGGCTATAGAGACAAGTGCCGTCAGTTTGAGGCTTGATTGAAGCTCATTCCAAGACCAAAGACCATAATAAAAAAAGACTCCTTTTCCCAGCCTCAGTCCGCAGAGCAGGTACCTGGAACCGTATCCAGGCACTGGATCTGAGGTTGTAAAAGTCACAAACTGGAGCAAATCTGGCACATATGTAGAGTGGAAGCTTACCTAAAATGGCTTTATACATTAATAAAAACCAATGCTGCATCCTACGCATACTAAGTGAGGACCATCCAGTTAGGCTATACAGTTTGCAATGATTAGTCCTAATAGGGTGCATTTGATATATAACGCAGTGCAGCATGGTAGAGTGGGTCAAGTTTGGCCAAAACAGTGGGACAGGCAAATCTGAAACTGTCCTCCAACCTTTCATGTTTTCTCTTGCCTGTGGTTAGGTTGTAGTAGATCAGTCTCAAGCTGAAGCGCTGGCCGCGGCTGCTGCAGCAGCTGGAGGCAACCTCATCTGCCAGGCCATCATCAACTCTGGCATCGCCATGGAGACAGAGGAAGCCGTGGAGGAAGCCGTGGAGGAAGCCGTGGAGGAAGCCGTGGTCGAGGAGACCTCAGAGGCAACGGAGGAGATGGATAAAGAGAATTCTGACTGTCCTGATGAGGATGAGAATTTCACTGAGATCCATATTAAAGAAGAGTTTGAAATGGAAACAGAGGTAAGCATGAGAGTAATAATGGTATTGACCGGTTAACTACTTACATTCTTTGAGCAGTCATGTTTTTGCAATGCTTTGTAAAAAGGGTTCGATTTCTTTCTTCTTTTTGAAATATTAGCTATTTATAATTTTTAAGTACTTAGCTGGAAATAACTCACCATATCGCCAACTGACTTTAGGGACGAATGATTCATAATTAATCTTCAATTTGATTTGTTTTTTTATTAAGGTTAAGAAACAGAAAAACTAAACTGAATATCTTGTTGTCTGCTTTTGATTCTTTTGCAGGAAGCAGGAGATGGTCAAACATCTTCAAAAACGCACAAGTGTCCACACTGTAGTCGCTCTTTCAAGGGACTGAATTATTTCCGCTTTCATGTCAAGGGCCATTTGGGTTAGTCCAAAACTCTAATTCATAACTCACAGCAGCATCACCTCCTAAAATCCTTTTGATTAACCTTAATCAATATGTGAAATCAGACGAAAGCACAACTTTATCTTGTTACAAACAACAATATAAGATTCTTCTCTGTGTTTCTTTTCTCTTTGTGCAGGTTACAAGCCTTTTAAGTGCACGCTTTGCCACAAAGAGTTCCTAACTGGTTACCTGCTAAAGAAACACATGGAAGTCCATGTCAGTGAGAGGAGGTACAAGTGTGGGGAATGTGGCAAGCTATACAAAACCATTGGGCATGTACGTGAGCACATGAGGGCCCACTCTGATGAAAGACCCTACCGCTGTTCCAGGTGCAACAAGGGGTACAAGACCAAGGTGAATCTTTTTGTAGATTATTCTTTGTTTTGTATTAAATGCTCAACTTGTATTCATATTACAACATATTTCGTCACTAAGTTATTATTCACAGACGTATCTTCCCGTCTTGCTCAGAATGCCTTACAGGTGCATCAGCGGACCCACGGTGATGAGAAACCTTATGTGTGTCAGTTCTGCTTACGAGGCTTCAGGGAGAAGGGTTCGTTAGTGCGACACATCCGCCATCACACCGGAGAGAAGCCTTTCAAGTGCCCAAAGTGCAGCCGAGGCTTTGCTGAGCACGGGACTCTGAATCGGCATATGCGTGCGAAAGGTCTCTGTAGTTGACAGATCAGAATACTTGAAGGGAAAAATGTAATTTGCCGACACAGACAAACATAATAACAACGGCTCTTGTTTCCCACCAGGAGGCTGCCAGAAGGACGGTTGCAGTGAGCAGCAGGAAGAGGAAACGGAGGAGCAGGCGTCGGTGAACAGCCTCGCTACGGCAGCCATCATCTCAGAGGATCCTCATGCCGTCCTGGTGGAGTTCTCCTCAGTGGTGGCCGACACACAGGAGTACATCATCAATGTGAGACAGGGAGTAAGGGTTAAACAGAAAGTGGTGTTTCTCCCCTTACTCAGAGTTTGATGTTTGTTAAAGTGTGAAAGTTATTTTTTTTCTAGATAAAACTTGTTTAAGTGATACATGATGTCACAGCAAGTGTTTTTTATATCAATCAAGAGCAGAATATGTGCCGTTACATCACTGATTAGACCCTCCAGAAAAACGCGATTCTGCGATCGCAGAATTTACCGCATAATCAGCCAAATGGCGCAGATTTTTAAAAAGCCACATATTTATCAAAAGGCCGCATAATCCCCGCATTTTTCCACACAAAGTTGAGAAGAAAAAAAAGTTAACTCGTCTTGACGTGACGTTATCAGCTCGCGCATCACAGAATGTAAACAACACTGTATAGAGCTCATTTAGCAACGAACATTTCTACTAAAGACCGGGCAAAAAGTGGGGGGAAACTATTCTGCACCCCGTGCAACTGTGTGTTGCAGCATAAGAGAAAATCGACGGTGACGACCCACTTTGATTCATTCAAACATTCGAAAATGCTTTCTGCTGCTGCGGACAAGAAAGCCATTCAACTCCCGTTCAGCGAGGCATCAAGCTCCAAAACCTTTTCGAGGGCTACAAGAAACGAAGTGAGTAGCCTACAAGATTGAAGCTGGTCAGATAACGAACGAGTAAATGAAAACAGAATGAGCCGGAGAAGTGTGTGTGTGTGTGTGTGTGTGTGTGTAGGGCGGCACTAGCCAGCTTCCAGCCACAAGAGTGTGTGTGTGTGTGTGTGTGTGTGTGTGTAGGGCGGCACTAGCCAGCGTCCAGCCACAAGAGTGTGTGTGTGTGTGTGTGTGTGTGTGTGTGTGTGTGTGTGTGTGTGTGTGTGTGTGTGTGTGTGTGTGTGTGTGTGTGTGTGTGTGTGTGTGTGTGTGTGGGGGAGTGTGGGTGTGTGTGTGTGGGTGTGTGTGTGAGAGTGTGTGTGTATTTGTGTGTTAGAGAGAGAGAGTGTGTGTGTGTNCTTTTAAAATCGTTCTGTGTGACACGAAAAAAGGGGGAAATCGTGATGGTCATGGCATTTCGTGTTATAGTCACGACATGTAATCTATTGATTCGTGTTCACCATCACGATTTCCCCCTTTTTTCGTGTCACACAGAACGATTTTAAAAGCAATGTATTTCTACTCGTAATGTGTTTCGTGCCTGCAGCACGTCTTTTTCTCCGGTCGGGTCGTGGAAGACCGGAAGCTGTGGGGTTCATAAAAACATGTTCTTCTACTCAATATCAAGCCACGATTATTGCTTTTATTTTAAATCGTATAATTTCTGACTTTTTTTGCCGTCTGTGAGGAAAATAAATGGGGCTCAGAGCCTCAGAATACTGAAATCTGTATTTTTTAAATCTTTTTTTCCTTCTAATTTGTTATTCTTTTCTAAATAACACACTGTTATTTACTCAACAATAACATACAATTATCCTTGTTTTTATTTATTGGTTTAATTCCATAATCTCGGGCTTTTTTGGCGTCCGTCAGGAACTGAATTTCAAAATAAAAGTAACCGGAAACAGCATGTTCACGTAAATACCGTAAATACACACAGATCAAAACAGATCAAAACAGAGACACGCGGCCCGGATAGGAGCGAGCGGTGCAAAAGACAGGAACTTGAGAGCGTTGCAATAAACAGGAACTTGCGAGCGTTGCTGCCTTTAACCGACCCGTCGATCAGCGTCTGGCAGCTAATGCTGTTATGTATTGCGCCGAGGCTTCGGAGCGTGGAGTAATCCCGGAAGCTTGCATCGAGGCTTGTATCGTTTTGGGCCGGTGACACCGTTTAGATTATATAACGGTAGGCAGATGTATCGGGGGCGTGTACATTTAGGAGCTATTGTCGAATAACCAGGAAATACACATTTCGATCGCTCCTTCTGTCGTTTACATTCATCTTTTTGTATATTTGTCTCCATAGGAACACTTTGATGCACATTCAGTACCAGTGTGTGAGGTTGTGGTTGCGATGCCGATATCCGGACGTGTACAGCGAGGACTACAAAATGACAATGAGGTAACTGGGGATGTCTGTTCAAAACATTGCAAGCTTGAATAAATCATTTAAACCAGTTATTTTTGCCAGACTTATTACTGAATATCGTTCTTAATGTGATACCAAGTCCATCTGAGACCTGACGTACACCTTCAGACAGCCTACAAGTGAAGCACACGTTGTTTACTCACAGTTTGAAAGCAGCGTGGAGAAGTCTTCAGCTGTGGAGAGCTCCGCCCTGGTTAAATTGTGATACGACTTCTGTTCTGTGGCTATCTACCAGCGATATATGTTTAATATTAAAGACTACACACATATACCCCCTATCAAAACGGTATTCTGCACTTTGCAGCACTTATCCAGNCCACCCCGCCCGTATTCACAACTAACTACATCCTCCCGTTCCTCTTCTCTTCCCACCACCTCTCCCTTCTCCCTTTCTCCTTTTTCCTGTCCCTTTCTTCTTTCTTCTTCCGGTGAAGCAGACGTTATCGGTCGTGGCTAAATAAAGGAAGGGTGGTCGCTGCTCCGTCTTCTCACTACCTAAATTCCTGTTCTTACGTCCTGTCCCAAACTCCTCTGCTCCTCCCCCAGTGATGTTTTACCAATATCCTCCCGGGATGCGGTAAGAGTGCCGCGAGCGCCCCGCAGTAATTCGAAGTGATAGTTTGACCGAACTACATTGTTCCTTAGTCTACCTGTAACGTGAGTTACCGTTCCTTTCTGTCGCTTCTTAGTCCAGTGGTGACAATGACTTTGTCTGGCTCCCCCCTGAGGCGCTGTCAAGACTTTACTTCGAGAACCACATTTATTACGTCATACTTAATGGTTCCAGTAGTCCGATTAATCGAACATTGCTATATCGATAGGGAAAGTGACCGGGGACCGTACGGAAGACGAAGTTCCACGATTGTGCTTTAGAGTGCAAGGGAAACAGAGGGACTTGTATACATAATTAATACTATTAAAACCATTGTTTACCTTCGGATAATCCCCTCGGTAAGTAGAACCCGCGGCCGTCTAAAATTACAGATACTCTACCCCCTCTCCTCTCATCTCTCCATTCCCTCAGTTGGCACTCTTGCCACCATGGGTGGTTTTGTGCCAAGGAGGGGAGGCCTCCTGGCTTCCCCATGAGCCACCATTTTGTGGATTGCTTGCAGTGCAATAGCCAGCTGTATGCATGCAGAAATGCAAAAAGAGGGACAATAACGGAATAAATTGGTGTTGGAATGGAAAAGAGGTCACAAGGCTGAGGTCACTGTGCCTCCTGCTGTGACCAGACCAGAGATCAGGGCTGAACCTGACCCTGGCGCTACAGGCACGTTTACACCCACATAAATACACTCCACAGACATTCTTACATGAACAACATGTCCACTCCTTTTCTCTGTAGAGTCTCTCAGACAACCTCCTTTAAACTCACGGACAAAGTTTTTGTACTAAAGTATTTCCTTTATTTCACATGCCAAAAAGAAAAATATTCTTTCTCCCTTCATATAAAGCCCAATTATATAAAGCATTGACACCTCCTGAAATAAAAGGACACATGAATATTGTATGAATAAAGCCCATTCAAACAGGACATAAAAAACAGACTGACCAACCCTGAGATTATTCTCATGTTTTAGATAACAGCTTTCATGACCTTGACTGTCTCAGCAAGGACAAAATAAACGTTGAAAGGTTTTTTTTTTTTTTTTACAAAAGCACTCATGGACATTAAACAAGTATAACCTAAAAAGATCCACATAGTGTAACAGAAAGAGACTTTTGAGAGAAGATACATGAACATTTGCTTATCTGAATATTTGCATTTGTTAGGGGTATGTTCACGCAATACCTGCATAAAATGGGAGCGTCTGTGCAACAAAAATCTCTTGATTTGCAACGGTGGGTTTTGATCAGCTGCGGGTTCAATTCCATTTATGTTGGTGTTGTTTTTGTATTTCCTTGCAGTTTGCTTTTAGCTGTCGGACATCGAAACTATTGTTGACTTCGTCAGCGGCTTTTAATAAGATATTGCATGTCATCGTCGCAGGTGAACAAGTGTAAAAGGAGACACGATCTCACCTGAGCGCATTCCTGAGAGGGAGTACAGACGTCAACGCTGAATATATTCACATTTATTTGGAAGATGAAGACACATCTTAATGCCTCTAGGGATTTGATCAGATCACTTCCTAAAATGATCAGCAATTACCAAGGTGCTTCGGGCAGTTTGGATATCTCTTCCACAGAGGGGAACACGCACAGCTCCTCAGCAAACCAATTTCAGATAGACGAAAAAAATATTTTAAAAGAACGAATGGTTTCTAATTCCTTAAACCTTCATACCTGATGTGCAACCTGAGCGCTACATTAACAAGTCATTCTGCAGTTCCTTGTCGTTCAATTTAGAGGACTGCCAGGTTATTGATGCCCATTCTGATAAAGTCCTATGATTTTTTTTGGGAAGAATAACCAAATATAGTTATATTATATCGGGCTGTGATCAGATCTGAGACTCCGACTGGGTGACTCAGAGGGTTTTCCAAATTATAATCTCTGTTGACGCAGACTCTAGGCGTCATTCCCGTAAGTGCAAACACTAAATGATACATAATTTGTATTTTGGGTACCTGGTGAGTAAACAAGGGCTCACAGTGAATACCTCCCAATTCCAAAATATGCTCTAAAAGGCTCCCAGATCTCCAAGCTTTTCAATATGCATTTCGATTCGATGAGATCTATTCAAAGACAAACAATGTTTGAGCAAACGGCATGGTCGCCCCTTGCTGCCATTTATTTTAAAATCAGGAGCTCGTTTGTTTGTACAAACTTAAATTCTCTCTCTCTCTGTGTCTCTGCGTCTCTCTCTCTCTCCTTTCATGCTGTTGCTAGGGAAGCAGGGCGTATGCGCTCCCTGGCCGCGGCTGAAGGGCACGGGGAAAAACAGGATTAAGGCGAAACTACGGAGTTTTCATCGAGAATGTTTGCAATGTTTGACTCTAAACCACCTCTTGTACACATTTCATGACTGAAACTCGAGAATTATTAAGTGCAAAATGCCCCATTTCGTCGCTTTTCCCCCATTGCCTTATATGGCAGGGCAGAGATATATCGTGCCTGTATTTAATAGGCTGGCCGCTGCTGCTCTGCTTAGAGGCTTTAACCCTTCTGGTGCTGAATTACTCTTGGAGCAAGACAAGCATCGGGCTTTTAGATTCTGCCATTTCTCTTTTAACGCAACTAATGATATATACACACAATCGAATTGCGTATTTTTGTTGACAATCATGAGCACGAATGTCATATTACGCACGAAAAAACCCATTCGATGCAAAGACGCGGGTTTTCTCTCATGTTTCCAATTAGGTGCCCATAAATCCGGTGACTTAATGCAGATGACATTTACAGCACAGAGTACATCCTAACTGGTGATGTGGTTTATGCTTTTGGATTTAAATTGTCAAGATGCAGATAGACAGCCAGTTTTACAAACGATAACAGAATGTAGTTCTGGTTATAGAGGAACAAGCTGAGAGCTGTGGCACCATTATAAAGTTGCCACAGGTAGGCTTAGGGCTGCACAGCAACCCTCTGCTGTGCGTCAAATTGATGGCAGTTGAGCCCAGAGGACATGGCACTGGTTTGACGACCAGAGTGAGTGTGACCTATATTTGCAGGGCGCTGTCAGCAGATCGAAGTGTGAGCCTCTGTCTGCACATGTACAACTGCTGCTTTAAGAGGATCGACAATTAAAAAAGGGAACTTATTATTCATTAGTGCCTAAATTCAGGGAAAAAACAAGATTTGCTGACACATTGCAATTATTTTTGAAAGATAAAGGGCTAGGTGTGTTTATGCTTTGTTATACAACTGTCCTTATAAAACAGTTTTTCAAAAGAGATCGAGGTTTCAAGGTGGTTGACAAAAATAGTTTTTTTTCAACTCCCTCGGGTCCAGTTTACTACTCTGAAATTTCCTGATGCAGTTATAACCAAGCAGTGTGTTCATATCAATAGAAGTATATGCATCTGTTGAAAATGTATCTTCTATTTACCAACATCCATACGATATAATAGAATACAACTTTTTCTTCTCAAGTGAATTGTAAATGAGCTGTTGGAGGAGCTCGGTTCAGGAGCCTTGCTATCGATAGAAACATTGAATGTGCTCAAGTGGATTTTATTCGTTCGTGCTGTAACAGTAAGGTAGTGATAGATTTGAATTTCCAGATATCCCTCACGCAGTCCAGTACGCTCAGGATCAACCCCAACCTCTGTGCAAGGTCTCCCTCTCCCCCTCCCCCTCCTGACGTCATGCACCGAGCTGGAGCTATTGCACGAAAAGAGCTGCTCGCAGCCGCACTGTGAATATCTGTATGCTCATAGCCAAGACTGTGGAGTGTGCAAAGGAGGGAGAGAGAGAGCGAGTGAGGAGGAGAGGTGGAGGGAATACAGTCTGATTTGGATACAACTGGAAAACTACCAAGCGCGCACAGCACGCACCGAGCGGAAGGCACATCGACGGTGCCTAGCCAACATTTCACCTACTCCCCCCGGCTCCTGCGATCGGATTCAGCCGAGAATGGAGCTCCCTGCCGCCGGAGAGCATGTCTTTGCGGTGGAGGGCATCGAGAAGAAGCGCATCCGCAAGGTAACAGATAGGGAGCATGTTTGCAAAACGCGCTCAGGACGCTGACATATTTTTGCGTTTGACATGAGCCTCACCAAAAAAAAATTCTCCACCATCACAGGGCAAGATCGAGTACCTGGTCAAGTGGCGAGGCTGGTCTCCAAAGTAAGTCTGAATGCAACATTTTCTCCAATTGCAATGGACAAATGCACATTTTCGCAACAAATTCAAGTCTTGTTACTTAAAAATGGCATTCATCAAGGGCGTGCGCGCACAGTGTGTGTGTGTGTGTTTGTGGCTAAGTGTGTGTGTGTTTGGGAGAGCGCGCTCGGTATGTGTTTCAGTGTATCCGCGGATGCCTTCACTAATTTATGCGAGGGAAGGGGGTAGGCACAGCCATGTAATCCCGTTTTAATTATTTCTGCTCTGCCAGCGAATTTACGAGACAGTGGTGCTAAAATGGCCGACTGTATGTTGGTGCTGGAGGACCGTTTGGAGAGCACATTAGTTTATTTGTCTTTGACATTTTGGATGTGCAGTTGGACGTCCTCAAGGGTGATTTGGAGAAGCCGAAAAAAAATTGCAACATTTTAAATTGAAGTCCAAATAATTCACAGAAAAACACTATTTTATGTTAAACTGGTGGCCTGCCTTACCTGTGCATTATACAGTGACTTCACAGTAATGATAAATATGTGGGAATGTGTGTGAGTGTGTGTGACGGACAGAGGCTAAGGCCTGTGTGACAGTTAGAAAAAGGAAGTCTGCACGTGACAGCTCAGACAGTGACAGTTGCTCTCTCCTCTCTGCAGATACAACACATGGGAACCAGAGGAAAACATTCTGGACCCTCGTCTCCTCGTCGCGTTTCAACACAGGTGAGAGAGGTGGACTTCGGACGAGGCCGCGCAGCCTCCAGTTCAGCCATGACCATATATGGGCATGGGAGGAGGGGCGCTCCAGTAACTCTAGCACTGATCCCCCTTCTCCTCCTCCTCCTGTCCCTGCCCCATGACGGTCTCCTGGGGAATAGGCTGAGGAGGTGGTAGTGAGATATACTAAATCATACTTAATGGGAGGATCGGAAATATTCATGGATAAAGACTTGCATTGCAACAAATTATCATCTTATTAAGTGATTTTGCGTCAGGAATCAGAGGTTTCTACAGCATGCCATGACCCAGTTTCACAGAGAAAACTGAAGTAGTTGCCTTTTCATTTGCCAGAAGGTGCATGGTGGAGCAATGACAATGGAAAAGCAATGCTCCCCACGTGGATTTGATCCTAATTCTGGTTTTATCAGTTTGCAACTGGAGATTGATCAGGAATTAGCAGCTGAACTCCAGAGCTGTTTTCATTCAGGGTGGCGGACACAAGAGCAGCAGTTTGTTTTGTTTTCATGTGACGAGGCTGCTGCCTGATGGGATTCTCATCATTATACCAGGCTGAGATCTGCTGTCAGGCTGAGCTGTGCTTTACTTCTGCAGGCTTATTTCATGCAGTGTTTTCCACCCAAGAGAAAACCTATTAAAAGCACTAGCTTTGATGCTTCAGATGCAACTGCTGCCTTTATTTTGCAATTGAATGTTGTGGAAACAGAATATCTCACCTTGGGTGTATACATCGTCAACCTGCTTTCAATCCTATAGGTCAAGAGGCTTAATAGATGCCTGTAAGATAATCAGAAACACATCAATGCCAATCTCAGAGGTTGAGATGTTAATGAATACAAATGCAGCTGTCATTTTGGCCCTGTGGCGCGTGCACAACAACATCTTGTCGGGGTTGTTGCACCCATGAGGCCTGAGAGATATACTCCCCCTCAGTAGGCCACCAGGCCGCTCATGGGACTGGGAAAGACACGATGGCTCGAGAAAGGAATTATCATTTTTAAAAAGGCTAATTTACACGCAGTGCTCTCCAGCGTTTCCAGTGTACCGCTCTCAAATTCCCCCCGCAGCCTGCCTGCCTTTCTGGCTGTGTGTGTGTGTGTCTGGCTCTGTGCTGATGGTCATGGAGTGCTGCCTCTGCGCCGTGTGTGTGGATTCCTCTTTGCTCCCAGAGGATGGGGGAGGGGATCCGACAAGGGAGGCTGTAATTGCCAAATCTTCTGTGAATAGGGGTCATCCCGTTGGACGCTTTTTGAAAATCGCACACATTATAGCATTAAAATGTAGACTGTTTATTGAGGCAACTTTCTGGCAGCTCTGATGGTTTGAACATCTGTAGCAAGAGGCCAACAATAGACTGGATTAACGCATGCCTGGTGGAGCCCGTGTGCTGCCGGCCTTCACCCACCGCTGGTTATTTATGAGCCAATGATGAGTCAAGGTTTAGATCAGGGAGCAATATTTCACAGGCAACTCAAGTGCTTGGTCTAGTCAGTACAACAATAACCACATCCCTCTCCCCTCCCCTTATAAAAACAGTTCCAATAGATGTTTGTTAGTAGTTGGATATTCATCACCCTATATTTCAGGGTGTAGGCGTTGTGTTGCACAAGGGTGGTGGTTTGCATGTTTTCAACAGCCGCATGTATCCTAGAAGTACTCCACAATGTTGTATTTATCCCATTCCATCCCTCATGACCCTAATTAGAGATTGAATGTAGAAGGAAGGGCATGCTGCAGGAGGGAGGATGTTTGAAAGACAAGGAGAGGTTTTGCCTGCCGTTGCCTTAATTGAATTTCTCCTGGATAATGAGAATATAGAATGGGCCGATTACCATGGAGAGCTATGCAAATAAGGACCATAATGCTTTGCAGCGGGTCACATGTGGGCATTCATTAGTCATCCAAATCTAAATTCCACTTTTGACCTTGAATAGGTAGAAGAAAATGAACAAACACTCTAAAATGTTAAACCTGTCCTTCTGTTTGTGATATAATTAGATTTTTATGCGGAAAGGTGAAACCATGTCAGTCAAATGAGATGTAGTATATCGAAGGTAAACATGGTGCAGGGAAATGTAATTATCTTTTGTTTTCACAGAGAGAGGCAGGAGCAGCTGATGGGATACCGCAAACGGGGGCCAAAACCAAAACATCTTCTACTCCAGGTAATTATCTTCTTCATCATCACAGACATGATCATTTGCCATGTGCTGCTTTTCTAATCCTTTCTGTAAGTTTCATTCTTTAAGGGGCCACAAAGGGGGAAGGGGCCTGTCAGGTGCTTTAGAGCCGTAGCCATTATGGTAGCGGTTATTAATAGAGTTTTGAGAGAGATAGAGTAAAAGGCAAAGCATGGATAGAGTCCTACAGCTGGTTATTACTGCACACTCATCATGAAGCAGGGTTTGTGGCCTGAGGTTAGGCAAGCGTCGCTTGAGTGCACTCATTTTATCTGCATGTTCATTATTTCTTTATGCAAAATAGCTTTTTATGCAAAACAGTGAACACAAGGATATTTTTTGCACCACGTTAATCTGTATTGAGAGAGAATGTTTTATTTCATCTCCGTCTTTGGAAAAACACAAAAATAAATGGCTGACTATCTTAACTCGGACCTTTACAGCACTGCTTCCTGAGCCAAATGTGATTATATATTTTGAGAGACTCTGAGCTGATTGCTATGCAGTGTCACTCCTTAAGAGGCATACCACTCTGCCAGAGTCACACGTGGCCAGAAATCAGGGATAAAGCGTGACATGTCTGGTGGCACTTCTGTGACCCGGGGTCACAGCCGAAGAGTCTTGAGCGTTCCGCTGCAGTTCCCCTCTGACGGCCCGAAGGGTCAGTCTGTACAGAAGAGGGGGAGGGGACAAGATGGTGGGAGCATGTCGTATGCTTAGCAATGACCTAAACGTTTATTTATATTTCCAATAGGCTTCAACATCCCGTACGCTTTCATTTGAATTTCAGCATGCTGATTTGTAAATTGTAGCTGCTGTGAGAGCCCCTTTTTAAAAGGGAATTACACAGACCTTTCTTATATAAATCAAGTTGCTTTTAATAAGCCAGGACAAATGTGTACCATTAATCCCTGCATTTCAAACCTGTGGTATAGTATTTGAAAGGAGTGAGCAAAGGCCAGGCAGGGAGGGTAAAATGTATTTAGGCAAGTAGTTGTATTATTGTAAATGAATGATCTGTTTTTATGGAACTTGATATTTACTATTCACTAAAATCAGGCCACTGTTGCTTTTTTTGATCGGTCATGTTTTGTTTTTTAACCACAAAATGTCCCTATTATACACATTTGTTTAAATCAAATGATTAATTTAAGAGATCCAAGAATTCCTGTCGTTTTTCTTGGGTTTTTATTCATTTTGCTGATCATATTTTTGTCTCGACAACAACATTTCAAATGTTAAACTTGGTGTTTGTCTCTTTTTTAGGTACCGTCATTTGCCAGGAGATCCTGTATCCCTGCAGGTTTCACGGATTCATCTCAGGACGCCGAGGTTAGCCTCAAGTCCGATCCCATCCCGGTCCAGCGTCCCCAGGCTCAGCAATACCAGCTCAACAGCAAGAAGCACCATCAGTACCAGCCCAGCACCCACGAGGTTCCCGCTGATCAGCCAATCAACGGCAAGAAGAAGTTCATCTACCAGCTCAACAGCAAGAAGCACCACCACTATGAGCCTGACCCCAACATGTACGAGGCACAGGCTTCCAGACTCAAAGAGGTGGTCAAAGTTCAGGAACCGGGCAGTAAACCGGCAAATCCTGGCTGGAACTTACCGCTGGCCCTGCAGCAGAAATGGATTCGAGACAAAGACACAGGCTGCTTGAGCAAAGTCAAAGAGCTGGCAGTGGAGGTGAGGAAACCCGCTGTAAAAGACGCTGAGAGCGAACATGCCCTTAAACCCAATCCTAAAGATGCAACGCTGCCTAGCTCTATTAGCAGCAAAATGAAGATAATCAAGAACAAAAACAAAAATGGACGTATTGTTATTGTCATGAGCAAATATATGGACGGCAAGGTTAACGGAGCAAAGGGTAAACACGGGGAATCGTCGAGCGAAGTGAAACTCCAAAATGCCAAACCGTCAGAAAACAGTCCAGCACACACAACCAAAATAGTGGAGCACCCTGAGAATGGGATCCCCAAAGAGCTCTGCAACGGCAGCTCCCTCCCGGCTGCAGAGCATCCCATTAAGTGTTCCCACAAGGACAGACATTTCTCCAAACCTTCTCCAAGCACAGCAGAGGAATACAACACTGAAGTGGCTCGCGGTCAGGCTGATTTACCGGAGGATCTGCCTCTCCAGTTGACTGCTAGCTCGCCACTGACTTCCTGGTCTGTTGACTCCAATATCCTGACCCCTACATCCGTCGAGACCATCAGGATCCCTTCTTTTCCTAACGACCGCAAGCGAAAGCTATCAGATCCTGTGGAGGACAGGAGCATCTCCAAAACGTACCTGTCTTCCAGAAGCTTCAGCGTGCCCAGCACTGTTGTCACACCACCTCAGGACAAACCTATGGACCTCCACTGTAGCGGCCCCCGCCACAGCAGCACATGTACGTTTGAGGTTGTGGACAGCCAAGAGGAGCCGATGGATCTCAGCTGCCCAAAGACTAAAACGCAGGTGGAGCCGGAAGTCCATCCGGAGCCTGAACCTGCTGTCACAAACACACCTCCTGTGGTAGAAGAAACACAGAAATCCACAGAGAAATGTAAAGAAGCACCTGTTAAAAAAGTCTCCCCTTTTATGGGAAATATCATAATCACGGACATTACAACGAACAGTCTAACCGTCACCTTCAAGGAATATGTTTCTTTTTAAGAAATCTTAAATGGGACTACATGAATATGTACATATGTAAAAACATCTAAATTTTGTATATGTGAAAATGTATAATTTATAATTCAAATTTAAATATGTTTCTTAAAATGTTTTATACTGTAACTCCTCTGTGACGTCGTAGTCAAGAAAGTGCCCTCGAGGATTTGAGCGAATGCATTCAGGTGGATGTGTTCCACTTTAAAAAATATACTGTTTATTTGTCATATCAAGCTTAATGGAATACTTTTGCTGTCGTTTCATACCTGTACCAAACTTATAACCTGAGATGTATGAAGGTTCAAACATATTTTGTATGAATAATATCACTTATTTTGGTCCTGATAGAAGGTAGAGGATGTTGTTGAGTATATAGGGATCAAATTGAAAGCACTTAATTACATATTCATATGTTGGTTTGTGTCATTACAAGTGAAGAAACCGCTGCTCTCTTTAAGTCTTATTTTACTTTTTAAGTACCCTCAAACTTAATTGCCATACTTTTTACATGTTTTGTTTGTGGCTTGTTTGAGAAAACATTATTAGCCATGACTTGACATGCAAATTTAAACAGTAGGTGTTTCTGAATACAGTGTAAACACACACACCGCTGTGTAAACAACTTTTTAGAAATGCCCCGGTATATTCTTGCTTTGTCAAGTTGTATCCTGCCGTTTAGATGCAACAAAGCTGTCAGTGAATATGCCGTTGCAACCCAATCTATTACTTTGTTGCACATTTCACCTTTAGCAAACATGAATGGAATCAAATGTGACATCTCAAACATTAAGAAAACTGTGTCATTTATCAAACTTGAGACTTCTCCGTTAAACTGACTTGTCAATTGTTACCTTGAATAGATTATGTTTTCCTTCCTTTCTGTTGACTTCGCAGTGATGGAGTTACTTTGAAAATACATGTGGTAATCTCATTAGGAGTCTTCTAATGTCACACAGAGTAGCAATATTCATCTAATTTTGCTTTTGAAGCTCATATTATCTACAAAAAATACATTACTACTATTTAAATTAGAAAGAGCTACCAGGGTCATTGATGAGTATGTTACACGGAGTAAATGTGAGTTGTGAGGCTGCCTGCCAATGAGTGCCGGCTGTTTTGATTATGCTGCTGAAAATTCAAATGTCAAAGCTGTTGGATGTAACCTACATTTGAGTCGAAATTGCCTTCTTCGCACGTTTAATGCAGAACAGTAAGAATGCTATAATGTAAAAAAAATGAAGCCTATTTAATAACATTTAATTTGTTAACAAAACAACTACAAAGATGCTCTGCATCAGAAGTTAACAGTGATTCCACTGAACCATTCAGAAGATATTTTGCATCTATTTGCTACTTTTATATCTTTTACTTTATTTTGATCATTCTTTCTGGCACTTGGTTTAAAATCAGGATGATTGATATGAAGTAAGTTCTACCAAAAGTTGGTTGAGTTATTGCTGTTGGCACAACCTTTTGGATGGTATGTTTCACAATAAAGAAAAAATAAATTACCTGATTTGTTGTGTTGATATTTGGTTGATGTTGATATATTGAACGCACTCAAATAACCTTTTTATATTGTTTTTCTAGTGTTCCAGTGAAAGACTTATCTATCCGTTGTTATGAAGTCTTTTTGCTCATACTGACAAAGAATGGAACAATAAACACTAGAAACGTGGTTGTGAACCATGAATAGAAAAACAGATTGTGTTGCATAATCACAAACGACCCTGCACAAAGGCTTCTCTGTATTGCATAACTGCACCGGCCACTTGTATTATTAAAACTTTAACCATGTATTATTTTTCTACTGCAGCTCGACCCCGAGCAGGAATGTAAACACAACATAGAGGGAAGTGTGTTATGTAATTCTTAGATCCTATCAAGAGAGGGCAAGTATTCAGCCGTCACATGGTTTATAAGCTTGAGTGCCTTCCAGCCCAATGTGGCAGTTATAGGCGTCAATTATGACATTTAAATATAATGTGTCTGCCAAAGGCTTCGTGGCACTTCCCGAACATTGTGTAACTTGTTTTAAAGGGCTGTGTTGGCTCGTAAAAGGCCGCCCCACAATGACACAGTAATTCTCACTACATTATTATCATACGGTAAAATGTAGAGGCAAGTTCAGACTCATAAAGACACATTCTTCACAAATGCAAAGCTTCAGATACACATTTGTGTATGTCTGACTTTTCAATACATCGCCAAATGCTGCCTCAGTCTTGTCATGTCAGTATTGTCTATATTTCAATTGTATTATGTTGATAATTCTGATAGTAGGGCATCTAATGCAGAGCTGTCTGTCAAATGAGAGGAATCTCTTAGTTACTCTTTCTGACGATTCTTCAATTTTTCCCTGTTAAAGGTTTATATTCTGGCTCGGCTGGGGAGTTTTTCTTTCCACAGCTTTAATCTAACGAGAGGGTGTCCTATACTGTACACATTTTGAAGCCCAAATATCTGATTTGTGATTTTTGGCTATAATGTATAAATAAAACTGCCTTGACTTGACTTGACTTAAGGAGGATCATTAAAAGGCCTGTAGCCACTCTGATCTGGACGTTTAAGCAGATTTTGTTGTTGTTGATATACTGGAATCTCAAGCTTGTAAAGAGATTAACCCTTGAATGTATTGAGTGATAAAAGGCCTGGGCGTGTGTGTGTGTGTGTGTGTGTGTGTGTGTGTGTGTGTGTGTGTGTGTGTGTGTGTGTGTGTGTGTGTTCTTTAGTTTAGTCATGGGTGTTTCCTATCAAATAATGTGACACAAACAGAGAAACCTAACAGAAACATGGGTTTTCAGTGTTCGAGTATAAATTCCTTAAATCTGATGAAAATAAATTAAGGATACCTTCATTTAACATTATTTCCACCACCTATTTAGACAATAAATAACCTTTCTTTCTGAACTCTTGTGTGGTCTTGATTGTGTTGCCAGGTTAGAGACATATGTCACATAAACATTAAGGAGAGTCAGAAAAATGATACCTACATCTTAAAAAGGCCATGGTATACAGGAGATGGTAACCCAACTCAACATATTTACAGATATGCCATAGGGATCTCATGGATTAGGAAGAGTTTTTTACCTAAATAATTTACCTAATCTGGATATTTGTCCCAAAACTCCTTCCCACGCATTTCATATCCTCTACCGCTCTGATCTCGTGTTGGAAATGTAGAATAACCCGCAAGAAGGAAATTAAGGGGTTAATTTATAAAAAAATGGCCGAGTGTTGCCTCTTTATAAATGAATATTTTAGTAAGTTAATCAATAATGTGTTCGTTGTTATTTGTTGTGTGAGTTTAGGGGTCTGAAAAGGGCAAAAATATGACAACTAATCGATTACTGCCAACAGGCACAGGGGATTGTTTATGAATGGCATTGGCAACCAAGGACACGCATGACAGAGCACATTTTCTCTATTGCGAAACTCAGTCTATATCAGTTGATATGAGCGACTTTGAAATGTCATGAACACACACAGCTCGCGTGTTTCTGTCTCTCTCTGTGAAGTCTTTCTGTAGGCCTTTCATGGCTTTGAAGCATGCGAGTCAGTCATGCATCGGTAGGAAACTGAAACACCGTTGAGCAGGGGAACATATTTATAGACCAAGTGTGATGTTTCACATTCCCCCTTTATCATCGTGGCCACCAGCAGCCTGCACAGTGTCGGTTTCATCCCGCACAGTGCAGCCTCACAGGATCACGTCAGCAAAAGGATCGTTTGGATAATTTAAAGCTCAGTGTGTGACCCGGAGGAGGCCTGCTCACTAGACTACATTTAGATTCACTTAGATACATATTTTTTTTATTGTTTTCAAAAAAGGAACGTGCTTCGAGTCAGTATTTGTTGACTTCTTGGGTTTTCTTTTTAAACACATAAAACAATCGAGATTGGATCTTTCATTGTTTATCTAGATTCTAGAACATCATGTTGAACACGAATAGAGGCAACCTAAAATAGGTATAGTGTGAGAAATGAGAGCTGGAGCTGTGGTGTGGTGCAGCATATCAGGCTGCTGTAAAGGATGCTTTCTAATTCAAAGCATGCGCTGAAATATGGCTTCACAGTTTCTCGCTTGTGGTTTGTGTGTGTGTGAGCCACCTTCAGCAGAAAATGTCGCCCGGTAAAGTAGGACAGAGAACAGCGAGCTGTGTGCAGCAGTTGCCCAGAAACCAGAGAGCCAATAATGTTCTCACAGAGCCAGCACTGTTTATTCATGTACGGCTGTCGCCATTGCGGCTCCCGCAGACTCACTTTTCATCGACACGCAGCCAAATATGGAGGCTGCCTGCTCTGAGCGCGCACCAGCCGCTATCTCTCTGAACACAAACGGTGCAGAGCCATTATAGTAGTCTTCCGACAGGAAATGTCGGTCTACAGGCTGTGACTATCAAAATGGTGGTTCATATTTCGACGGCAGCCACAACGCATATTTTGTCCGCGGCGCACCCGCCTTTGTCTCCTCCATTGCGGGGAGAATTTAAACAGATAGCAGCAAATATATCTTGCTGTATCTTTAACTTGATCGAGAACGAAGACGGGTGAACGACAGACTGCCTCCCTGCTCATGTTGCGATTACCTTTCACACATCTGCAGGAAATGATTCCACATCTAATTAACCTCAAATATAATCCAAACCAATTAAAACAACTGTATATCTTTATACATATGCGTCATCAAGGGGACATTTGAAGGATGTTATAGTTTGAACAACATGAGGATAAGCACATATCAAGAATAAATGTAGAGAAATGCATTTGGAGACCGTATTTTCTAATCATTCTTAATTTGTGTGGCAAATGAGTGTTAATTAACTGTACATTTTTTTTAATATAAAGTTACCTTTAGGTTGCATGCGTCATGGGGAAGCTGCCAGGTCTTTTAAAATCGCCACATTGGCAAATATGGTGTTGTCCGTCAGGGTCAGTGGAAAATTCTGGCCCACAACATCAACAAAAAAGGCTTTGGTGGTTGATACCAGATACAATTTCACCCTTCTTTATTCATTAGATGTTTGAAATCTCACATGACTGCTCATACTGCGCAGTCTGCATGATTGTTGGTACTCATTTTAAATTGACAGACAACGGGAATAAAACCCTGAAAATGAAATAATACAGTATTGTGCCAATGTTTCTTTCTGCTTATTATTTGTGTTATCTATTTGACCTTCCGTTCAGCAGATCTAATGGTAATGTGGAGGACCTGAAGGCTTTGGCATGAGAAAGACTGCACGATTATTATACGTCCATCTTGGAGGAAATGTTTGTTTTGGTCGAAATGTGTTGGTAGAATTGTTTTACTGTTTTCATTTGGAATGAATAGCTGACCAATAATGATAATTGCACCTGAGGCCTAAAGATGAAGCTGCAGTTGGCACTTTATTCCGTTAAACAATGTGATTTTATTTATGCGATTATTATTTTGAGTTAAGGTTTTCTTCACCATCGATTTTGTCGTTCAATATTAACATAATACTACTAATAATAATAATAATAATATGCTACCGAATGCAGACTAACAAACGTTTTGTGTTCAATCAAAATAGAAATGCTTTGTTTTATTTTTGAGATAGGCAACAGCTTCAAACAAGAAGTAAAAAAACATAATATTTGTAATTAATAATTTTAAGAAAATCAATAATAATACTATTAGCATTTTATAATTAAAAAAAAATGTAATAATGTGAACAGTGATAATAATAACAATAATAATAATAACAATAATAATAATAATAATAATAATAATAATATAAACAATGACACTAATGTTCCCGAACAAAGTATTACTACTACTGACGTCACCAAAAATAATGATCAAAATCAATTACAGGCCCTCAACATATTTATACAAAACAGAATAAAAATGTAATTATATTAAAACAAACGATCCTTTTTTTAAATTGTATTTGGATGCACAAAACATTGATCCACTTATTTCACTCTAAATTTCATCTGGTTTAATATGTCATTTAAATGATGCCAAACTTTGTAGGGAAATCCCTTTTAGAGTCCAGTTTACCAAATAAATTCAAAGAATCAACACTCAGGAATCATTATAATGTCCTTTAGTCCTAGAAAATGTATTTATATAAATTATGACTGTGAATATTCTGCATGTTTAGAATTAAGTTAAGAAACGATATTAATGAGGTCATTATGGACTATATTTGCTTTTCATTTAATTTGGTTGGTCTTCAAAAATCATTCAATAATTTCGTCAGAATAAACAGAATTCCCCTTACGGTTAACGTGCAATATGCCTAAAAAAATACCCTATGGAAATTACATTTAAAACCAATCGACTGAAATCATGATTTGTTTTTTTTTGGGTGTCTGTTTGGTCTTTATTTGGTTATCATCACAATCGTTATGTGCTACTGAGTCAATTATTGTGTGCTGCGTAAAACATTAATGTGCAAAAGTCCGCTCGCATATTATGCTATTACATAGTCATTTTAAATATCGTTTGATAAGAAAAAAGGAACTGGACATAAACAGCTTTGCAGTTTGTCACCTAATTATCAAATATTTTTAAAATAATCATTCATATGGATGAATCAAAATCAAAATCAAAATGCGTATGAGGGGTTTTTCAAGATTCCTTGGGGCTGATATTTGAACGTTTAGGATGCCATCAGACAAACATTAAATATGGGAATTTTTATTTCTGATATTAGTCAGTAGAATTGTATTGTTAATTTATTTATGATTTTACACAGACTGATGTTTATAAATGTTTATTTGATGAGGATCAGCCACTGTATTAAACCAGTCATACTCTTGTCTCGTTTCTTTAATTTCCTGTTTTTCGGTTCTTTCTTTAAATGCAAGGGAAACAAAAAAAATGTTATATTTTTATTTGGACTCTGGACCCCTAGGTGCTCGGTGGATCTCTCTGACTTCGCTTGCCCCCCCGTGCCAGACATTCCATTACAGCAGCCGAGCAGCGGGGCTCCTCCCCCTCACTCAGAAACCGGAGCACGTAGCAACAACCGAGCCAATGTGCGATCCGTCCTACCGACTGCGGTGCCTGGCAACAGAAAAAGACGTGATGACGTCCTCTCCAGATTGCGTATTATGGGGTGTGCGGAATTAAACAACCAGAAGAGGACAAGCGGGGAAGCCAAAAATAATAAAAGAGACAGAAATAAACGAGGTGCATGGTGAATCATGGAGCTCTCTGCTGTCGGTGAGAGCGTCTTCGCAGCCGAGTCCATCCTCAAACGGAGAATCCGACGGGTAATCGCTGCTTTTTGCCCACAGGCTGTCTCCACACATATTACGCAACCATTTGTTTGTCCGCCGCTCACAATCAATGCTTTGATAACCCTGAATGTATTACGGATCTGTTTTTGCAGGGTTGCTGGGAATATCTGGTTAAATGGAAGGGCTGGTCTCAGAAGTGAGTATTGTAGCCGAGGCTGTGAAGGACAGCGCTCCATTCTGGCCGCTCGTATAACTGCAACACCTCAGACATGTCGTTTATTCAGCTCGTTTCTTATCATATCATCTGCTCCATGTGTTGAAGCGCAGTCTGTTATATGTCTGGTGGCTCATGGGGCTGTAGAGGTCTGAGCGTAAGCCCGCTGGGATGCATTGAAGTAGCTTTAGCAATGGCTGGGATCACCATGCGTCACTGTCCGCTACGTAGCCTGTAATTGTAGCCTGTAATTGTAGCTCAAGCAGCAAGATCGCTTTGTTAAAGTGTAACGCAGCGTTGTGATTGGAGAGGATCTGTCTAAGATGTGTGTCTCCTTGTGTTTGGGACACAGGTACAGCACCTGGGAGCCGGAGGAAAACATTCTGGATGCACGTCTGTTCGCAGCTTTTGAGGAGAGGTGAGGGTTTGACAGCGCAGCATAGGCCTCTCTGCAGACAGGAGACAGCACCGTGCATTTTGTACCGCAAACATGTCCATTTAAATCCGACTTTTTGTCTATTTGGATCTCCCAAACTTTTTTTTAGTAAAGAAAGTGACAACAAGCGTCGTTAGAGCGAAGTCATTCCATTTCCAAATCAGATTGTTGCAATGCATTATGTAATTTTCTTATCATAAACGGAATATCTGCTTTACTCCGACATGATTTTATCTAATTTATAACGTATTTCTAATTTAAACAACGTTTAAAAATACGATTAAATCAAAGCATGAGTAAATGGCACTTGTGAGAAAAGAGATTTCCCGATTTTATTATAGACCAAATAAAACATGTAGCCAAAATATATTTGTTAATCTGTGACTAATCGTGATTTTCTTTATCAGGGAGCGCGAAAGGGAGCTGTTTGGGCCGAAGAAGAGGGGACCCAAACCTGAGACATTTCTCTTGAAGGTGGGTAAATCATGTGATGTATTTCTCGGGTTTTTATGTTATCTTTTCGCCTTTCTTATGTGAGATGATATTATTAATTTCGATTTCATGAAAGCTACGACCTTATCGAGTTTGAAACTTTGTTGTGATCCATAACATATTGCTTATAGGCCTACTGTGGGATCTGCGAGCTAAGAATAACTTGTTATTTTAATGAGGTTGAGCTACAGTGCTTTTAAATTTAAAACTTCCTTTTATATTATAGAAAGTTATATGTATTTGACATGAATTCCCTAAAAAAACAAGCAGCTTTAGGGACGAGGCCTTAACGCTCGTATAACCAGGGTGCAGCTGCTTCTCTTAAACTGTTACATTTCCCCAGGAGATATCAACATTTGATCTCTGGTAAACTCCTCTCCGTTATATGCTCTGTCCTCAGGCCAAAGCCAAAGAAAAGACTTATGAATTTAGAAGAGAGGCTCCCAGAGCGATCCAGGTTTCCTATCCAACCCCGGAGCCTGTCATAACTCCCAGGGCCCGGGAGGGTTTACGTACCGTGGTTCCCACAATCTTCCCACCGAGCGCAGTCAACAGAGGTGAAAGTGTCCAAATCCGACCACCGGAGCCAGAGAGGAGGCCAAGAACGACTCCATCAGCTGCTCTGACAGACCTAGAACTTGGCGTCCGGATACCTAAAAAGAGAGGGCGCAAACCGAAGCTACATTTACATTTCAATGAAACAGTCGATGGAGGCCTCTCAGAAGAGCCGAACACCAAACGGAGCAGGTCACTCGAGGAGCCAGTGTCACACGGATTTTCAAACATGTCCCGCCACTTGCTTCATCACGGGGAGGCGTCAGATCACAGTCTCATGCAGCTGACACGGAGGTTTGAGGAGAAGACCACCATCACACCCAAACACAGCAGCAGCGAGCAGAGACACGCAGGGTTGTCTTTCAGCGCGTTCAATTCAGATGTGCGTAAAAGGGATCAGCTGAAACACATGACTAAATGTTTGATGTCTGTGCGGCGGCCCAGCAGCTCTGCAGAGCACCGGAAGCATCAGGTGAAGGAGTGCAGTCAACCTGCTGTCAGATCCACTGAGAACAGTGACAAGGCCACGCAACCAGCCTCGTGCTGGACCCCCAGATTGACCAACCTGGACACTGTGACAGTGACAGATGTCACCATGAACTTATTGACAGTCACTGTCAGAGAGAGCAGCACGGAGAAAGGCTTTTTCAGAGAGAAGAGATGAGTATGCTCGGATGTGGGTCATACAAAAAAAAAAAGTATAATATTTTAATATGCTACTAACTAACATTTTGTGTACCTTATTGTAAAGTGTTACCAACAAGCCTACTGCAATGCTATATATTTTTTCTATGTAACTTTCAATCGTGTACATACAAATATTTAATACACTGCTGAGAAAATCAAAAATCAAAGTGTCCTTGTGAGTATATTGTTTTTGAGACTTTTTTTTTTTTTTTTTAAAGAAAAACGTTTCAACGATGTCATCATAAATAACCACAACTTTCTAGAACCCGATTTTGCTTATAAACTCATCCGGTTATTGATTCTGACGGTGTTCCCTCATTACAAGGTTTAGTTTAAAACGCTTTAATGAAGATTTACTGAAGGTGTCTGAAATGAAATACTTTCCAGCCATTCACGTGTTTAAACCAAGGCCACTTGAGTCTAACACGGTTCTGAAAAGGAGGTTTCAATATAGTATATATCTAAAGGTATTATATGAATTTGTGTGCTGCAGTACTTCAAAAGATCGAAATATATAACACCTAAATTACCCATGCGTCATATTAAAATGTGTTATTATCCTGCTGGATGACGTCTTTTGTGATGGCTTTTCTGTTTGAAGATTCTCTGATGAGAAAGTTAACATCTTTTCGGTAAACAGAATTGAAGACATACTCAGACTATTCAGGTGTAATTTGGCCTCCTGGTCACACGCAACCAGGCCTACCTAAAAACACATTAAGACCCAACCGGTTCCCTTCAAACTGCAAGGCCTTATCTCGAATTCAAGAAATCCCCCAAAAAAATGTTGTAGTCCGTCATTTAAACGCCTTGTATCATAATCAGAAAAAACATAAATATCAGAGCCTGTCTAACCTTGGTGGACTTGATTACCGATTCAAGCTGATAAACATATAGCTTTATTCCCTGCAACATTATCATCACCACCATGTCGATTATTGTAAGTGGTCAAATTACGCATAGCCTACTTCAAAAGGGCGAGTTGGGCCTTGAAGCTGACAGCCAGTAGGCCTACAAGAACGAGATGTTTTTGACAGCTTTAATTGAAACACTCAGATGCTATAATGATTTTAATAGGAATAGTATCAATGAGTCATTTAATTTGCACATAACTGTGAGAAAGAATTACAAGAGAAGTTTCCTAAACTGTGACCCCGTGTCGAGTTGAGTGAACGGAGGTTTATGGTTTGAACGGTTCCTCTTTTTTAGGGCGTTAAACTGTGGTGTTGGCCGTTATTTATCCCATTAACTTGCATCACCTTGCTCCATCAGGCTTTTACAGTACATGAAGCATCCAGGCTGCACTCCGCTGATAAGAGGCCACTTCTTTCATGCACAAAGCCTCCATTCATTTGACTTCGCTTTGTCTCTGCAGAGGACCCAATCTGACCATCCGGGACTCCTGTGAGGAAACTCCGTCTGTATTCTGTAGTCTCACCAAAGGCTCTTTTTAAATGTTTAATTTGTTTAGGAACATCTGAATTTGATGTTTTGGTTGAATGAAAAAAGGGGGTGGAGCACTGCTTTCTAGGAACACATTTTGACGCAAATTCATGGAACAAAGATAATGCAACTTCGCAAACTATGTCTAAAGTGTATCTTGTCATGTTCTGCGTGCGCTAACATGTATAACACATTCAATATCATCCAAACTCCTAGATTTAGTGGCTAGAGTAGCAAAACTTGTCCTGCAGCTGTGACAACATCCGGCCAGATTCTCCACCTGAGTGTAATTTACTCAACGACATGGCTACCCATCAAGAATCCAAACCCTTTGATCTGATTCTGCCTGAGGGCCCTTATAAGCTGGATGCAAACCTCGAGAGGCCTGTCTGGTTACACTCCACAGACTTTACCTCCACAAGATGTCGCCAGCAGCAAGACCTTGAAACTCTGCCAAATTATTTTCCCACAAAGACCCTGCGAGTTAAAATGAAGTGGAACCACTCATCCAAAGAGGATTAATCATTGGTGAAAACGTGTGTCGTTTGTACTCATGTACAGTATTAGTGGCTGTTGAGTTACAGCCCCCTCCCGAAGAAAGCAGCAGACCTCCAGTGAGGGCAGTGTGCGTTACATCATCCCGCCACTAGATGAAGCTCAAACTCAGATACACCCCTCCCAATCTCATTTCAGATGGGCTAACTGGAAATGCATAAACAATTGATTAATTACTCTTATGTCACAGCCATGTTCAAATGTTATGATTTTACACACATTTTTGAATAGAAGATAACAGCTTCTATGTTATGTGATCAAGTGAGTGTAATTTGACCAGGTGAGTCCAAATCCAATACCATATTTTATTACTATAAATAAAACACATTTCTTTTCATTGAATTATTCCTTCAGCAAATGGTTTATGATTCTTTCTTTTTTTATTTATTTATTTATGTAAAGTCTCTATATAGCTTCCATGTTATGTGACCATGTGACCCCGTCACCCCAAATCAATGCAATAATATTGCAGGAGCGTTGGCCTTAGCTCTGTGATGTTTTACATTACATATCATTTGGATGCTTTGATCCAATACGCGCAAAAACTATAAAGAATCAAACTCCGAACAACAAGGAAAGTGCAGATATACAGTCCAAGCAAGATCATACCGTAGTAAGTTAATCAGTTACAAGGCCTAAATTAACCCAACCAGTGCTTCGTGTTTTGTTTTTTTAACTCCCGTCAGTCACGCGTGACCTTTCATTAAAACGCTCTTACAATTATATTACAACACTTGACCAGGAAAACACAACTTTTGTTATTGCATTTAAGTGCTTCCTATATTTTTACAAACGTTCTTTGGAAAGTTAGGCGTTTGAAAAAAATGATTATTTATGTAATTGTCAAAAGCTTATGTCATATGTTGACCCCAAATCAATACAACACTGTATACTTGACAATTAAGACACACCTCTTATTAGATTAAAGTCCTTCTATTATTCTTCTATTATTCAGACATCATTAGCTTCAATGTCATGTGACCCAGTGACTCCAACTCAATGCAGCATTGTCTAACCACACTGGACAAATAAGACACATCTCTTTTTTATTGGATTATATAGATAACTTTATTTCATGTACATATTATTCGGAAAATTCTACCCTTTTAACTGAAAAGTTTAGATTTTATAAACTATTTTCCTATTCAATGCAGCACTGTCTTTTATTCGATTTTAGAGATTATTTTATTTAATACCAATATGAAATGTTATTCCAATGATGATATTATTCCAAACCCTTTTATGTTTTGGATTAGTCTCAGCCCACCTTCAGCCATACCCAATTGGAAATTATGTTTCCAGTTTCCTAAAACTAATTTGGGCAAGTTATTAAATTACATCGCTTTTGTCTAATTTAAACGTTGATAAATGAATGGTTACTAAGTGAAACCCTGCAAGACACCGCTGCACCAGGGATGAATGTCTGTCGGATAGCCAACCTAAAACTAACCCGCAGAGAGCCTCTCAGAAGAGGATGCATGATTGTGAAGAGTGGCGCACTGATGTTAACAGATGGCTGAAGGCTTTCACCCTGAGCGTGTCTTTAGAGGGCAAAGACAAAGACCGGCAGACTCCCCCAACAACTGTATCAGCCCTAATTAGAGAGAGAGAGAGAGAGAGAGAGAGAGAGAGAGAGAGAGAGAGAGAGAGAGAGTCACAGTGTTGTGAAACTGGGTCATACGCAGACGGAATGTGGAGCCGGCTCGTCTGAGCAGAAATGAGGTATAAAATACAAACAAATGAGCTTGCGGTGCAATAAACCAAGCATCACCGATTGCCCCAACCCTTTCCCTCCGTTATACACACAAACACACACAAGCACACACTTCACATTTCAGCTTGCACAAGATTACATCTCAGCATCTTAGTCAATCAAAACCTCCCATTCCGTCCATCATCTCGATCTCTAACCCAGCACAGTGTGGAGGCGGGGGTGAGGGTGTGGTGAGTAACAGGTCTTTGTGGTTGCTGATAGAGGAAAGAAGAAGATAGTGAGAAGGGAAGGGGGGGGGG